TGCCTTCCTCCTTTTTCATACGTTTCAGCCACATTCTACACCCAGACACACGGAACTAGTTCTCCATAGTGTCTCCACATTTCCCATTCATTCTGCCTGAAATGCCTCGCTGACAATTTTGCACAGTAGCTTCTTGACACGGAGGTCTGGACTTGAGATCATCTCTGCCAAAGGCTCACTCCACCCAACCACCATCCAATCCTCTTGGTAATGGCCCTATTAGATATTCCTGTCCCTCCACTAGAAGGTGAGCAGGGTAAGGGCAGAGACCTCACCACTATATCCTAACATCTGCAACAAGGCTTGTTACTCCACTGGCACTTAATAAGCAATTGTGCAAAGAAGTGAGCTGTTGGTCTGGCTCACGCTTGGGGACAGCGCCTTGTCCTTCTCTGTCTGGACCGTGGCACTAAATGGTGAAGCACATCTGAGCATCAGAATCAAAAAAGTCCGCCGAGGACTGAGGCAAACGAGGAAGTACCCGCCATCACGTCACGTTTGTCATCAGCTGTAAAAGGACCAAACTTTGAATACGCTGGCCTAGTAGCAAGCGGCAGCAGCAGACGTCTTCTGGGCAGATCGCATTCAAGAGGCGTAGGGCGAGCCTCCATGTTTATAGAGCCAATGCCGAGACCAGTGGAGGTGTCCAGGCCGGGACACAGAGGGTTGACTGGAGCGGGCCGCCGCTGACCAGCGCCTCCCCGGCCCCTCTCGTGGCCGCCCCGGCCCCCGCCTCCAAGCTCCCCCGAAGTGCCCCCAGACCCTCATCCCCAGGCTTCCCCTACGAGGCCCCCGACACTCGCCCCCATGCTGCCCGGACACGGTCCTCTTGCTCCCCCGACGCAGCCCCAGACCCTCACCCCAGTGCTCCGACGCTACCCGGGACGTTCGCCCCTCACGCCTACGAACCCCGCCCGCGGCCCTCACCCGGCACCGCCGACTCTGCAGCTTTGGCTAGACGTGGCCGCGCGAGGGGCGGGGCACAGCGGTGCGACAGCCTCGAGCCCCCCGGAAACAGCCTGCGCGCGATCTCCGTTCCGGAATAAAGAGTGTCTTTCTCTGTTCGCAGCCGCACTCGGGCCCAAGCGGTGTTGGGCTGACCCTCACAGGACCGAGGCAGGCTTCGGAAAGAGACTTTAAGGTTCTGCGACTCTTTTGCCTCTTTTCCAGACTGGCAGGACTAACTCCGACAGAAAGCCGGACAACTAACCTTCCGGCGGAAGTGGCGTGGTCAGGGATAGCGGCGACCCGCCCCTCCCCAGTCGTAGGCGGGCGTGGCTTGCGTGGATTCCGCCTCTGGTGGGCGTGGCACGCTTGCGTCACCGCCTGCCAGACCCAAGGCCGGCCGGGTTCCTGCCGCAGTCGCTGGGCTCCGCCCGAAAGCGGAAAGCGGGAGGCGAGGGTCGGCCTTTCTGCAAGCAGACGTCGGTGGCGGGCGGGAGGCACAGGTCGCGCCGCCGCTCTGGAATATGGTTCGGCGATTTCTCAAAAAAATTAGACACACGGTTGGGCGCGGTGGCACACGTCTTTGATCCCCGCGACTCGGGAGGATGGCAAATTCTAGGTCAGCCTGAGCACCTTAGCGAGATTCTGATTCAAAATAAAAAATAAAAGGACTGGGGGCGTAGCTCAGTGGTAGAGTGGTCCAAGGTTCCATGCCCAGTACCTCCCCTCCAAATTATAGTTATATGGCCCAGCATCCACATTCCTGGACACCTATCTCAGAGAAATAAGCTTGTTCCCGCACAGAAACCTGCCCATAATTGTTCCTAGCACCATCATTTGTAACTGCCCCAAAGAATAAACGACCAAATGTGTCCGCCAGGTGGGCGGTGAATGGCACAGACCACCACGAATTCCAAGGGCATTCCACCGAGGGAGAGCTCTCAAGGCCTGTACTGAACGAGGGTTCCACTTATACGTTCACTGTGGGAGTGACAAGTTAGAGAAATGGAAAACAAACCACTGGTTGTCAGGGATTAGTAATGATGGGGTTAGAAAAGCAGTAGCAAGGGGCGGGGGTGGGGGAGAGTCTTTGCATGGAAATGTGTATCTCGTGATAGTGTCAATGGATCTGCATGTGACATTAAACGGCATGGATCTATAAACTCGTTTAAGACTATGTGATCTTAATCCAGGGGCTAAGATTGTGGTTCAGCGATAGAGTACTCGCCTAGCACTTGTGAGGCCCTGGGTTCGATCCTCAGCACTACATAAAAATAAATAAATAAAATAAATGTATTGTGTCCAACTACAACTAAAAAACAAATATTAAAAAAAAAGATTAGTGTTAGCTTCCTGACTGGTATATTATACTATGTAAAGTAAGATGTATGGGGAACTGGGGCAAGTCTTAATCAGCAAATAAAATGTGACAATTACTAAGTCTAAAAAAGAAAACACTCTAACCCTAACCAAATTATGTTAAATTGATAGCCATGTCCACATGGAAAAAAATACTGATTTTTTTTTTTTTTTGATAGTGCTGGGGACAGAACCCAGAGTCTTGCATATGCCAGACAAGCCTCTACCACTGGGTTACACCCCCAGCCCTAAGGAAAACTTTTTGCAGCATTATTAAGGTATAGCTTGTTAGGTCGGTGGTGGTGACTTAGTAGCGACTTAGAACAAAGCAGCCAGCGCGGGAAAAGAACATCAATCAGATGCCGGAGGAAATGCCTGTCAATCAGCCAGATCTCCTGACTAACGCCTGTTAATCAGCAGGACCCCCTGGCCAATCCTGGAGTTCAGCCAATTCCCCTGACCAACTCCAAGGGGGCAAAGGACCCTAAAAACACCTTTTCCTGTCCCAAGCCCTTCCCTTCCTGCTGTAAGCCCCATAAAAGTCCAGTTTGGTTGAGCTTCCATGCGGTTTCTCCTCAGACCCTTCCCCTGTCCACTCTGTGGGTCTGATCGAGTTCGCCCAGGAGTGATATCTCAATAAAGCCTCATTCAGCGGCCCTTTTAAATCTGCCTCCTTTGGTAGCTGCCTGCCTCGCCTGATCTGACATAGCTTACATACCACAAAATGTGCCCTGCATACAACTCAGTGATTACTTCAGAAAGCTTGCAGAGCTGCACATCTTCCTACAAACCCTTTGGTCATATGCAGACATTCCAGCCCCCAACTAGGAAGTGGTAAGGCCAAGTGCTTATTACCTTTCTTAAATACAACTGATTTAGTTCTAAGTTCATATGATTTCTAAAGCACTGGCTGTGTTCGGTGGCACTGGCTCCTGGGAGGTGGCCCTGCCAAATCACCTGGATTCACCTATGCTGCTGCACACAGGACTGGGCCTTGCCCCCCACATGAGCCTTTGTCCTCAGGAAAGCAAGACCCAGCCTCTCTACAGCCAGGACAACCTCAGGGAGAAAAGCAACTCCTGTTCGTGCCAAAGTGGAGCCAAAGTGGAGAGGGCAGAGGGAGAAGATGGTTCTAGGGACAAGGTTCAGTTTCCTCCATCAAGCCACACTTGAAATCAAATCTATTCTGGGCATTCTGAGTTCAGCAAATTCCTCTTTTTGCTTTCTTTCTCCTGAGAGTCTAGTTTTCTACTGCCAAGCTTCTGGAGACCCAGATTCTGGGTCTCTTCTGAGCCCAGCTACAGACTAAGAAGAGCAGTGTTACCCCTTCCTGGGTTGCCAGACCAAAACAAGGGATAGACTGTCACCAGGGTCCCCCAGCTAACAGAAACCCTTCCAGGCCCACAGCCCCTGAGGCCCGCTTCCTCTGACTTGAAGCTCAGACCCTTCAGACCAGGAAGGACCCTCCGGATAGCACACTGGAGGGTGTGCAGCTGAGGTAGGCAGCACTCACCTAGCACTGGGCAGGGTCACTGGGAGAATGGGGTGACCTTACTGGCACCAGGAGCACAGGAGGGTAGTGGACAGCTGAGGCCTAGCTCTGAGTCTGCTCCAAGACTGGGCTGAAGAGCCACACAGAAGCATTGGGCATCTGCAGCGGCTACATGGCCACCCCCCTGCAAGGCAAGCCTGTGAGGATACCCGCACATTCACCCCAGGGTCAGCAAGGCTCCATGCAATTGAAGATTTTGTGATTTTTAGTGTAAGGTGGATGGGTCTTTTAAGAGAAATTCAGAAAAACATATAAACACTGCATGAGCCCTGCCCACCTGCCTCTCTAAACAGCTCAGGTCACACCACGGAAATGACCATGCTGGCCTGAGGGTCCCTCAAGTTAGAGCAGGATGCAAGCTTTGTTCTGTCACATGCTCACCAGAAGTCTACTGGAGTCCCCTCAGTGTGGACCAGATGTCCAGTTACTTATTTATTTTTAGTTGTAGTTGGACACAATACCTTTATTTTATTTATTTCTATGTGGTGCTGAGGATCGAACCCAGGGCTTTGCATGTGCTAGGTGAGCGCTCTACCGCTGAGCTACAACCCCAGCCCCTGGGTGTCCAGTTCTTTAGTGGACTGAGTAAAGCTCAGTGCTCCCACCTTGGTCCAGTGAGACCAGAGCAAAGGTACTGGTCCCACTTCACCCTGGGCATGAAGAACTGCTTGCTGTAGGGTTCAGGGGCAACTTGGTGGTAAATCACTTGCCTTCTGTGCAACTGCCTTGGGTCTGAGTCAGAGCAGCATTAAAATAAAATTGTTTTGCATCCTCTATAAGGTTGGCATTTTCATCTTAATCCCTGGGAGCAGGTGTGGTCCATCTCTATAGCACAGACCATGGCAGGCTTCCCTACCCAGCTGAAAATAAAGTACCCACACTGGACAAAAGGCTGTGGCTCCTGAGGCTGGCAAGGGTAAAGAGACTCTCTGCTGTTTTCCTTGATGCTTAGGCCCAACCTCAGGTCCTGTGTGACTCCAGAAGTGAGCTCACTCCAAGTGGTCAGTTAGTCTGCTGGTAGAGCCACAGATGGACCAGAAGGCAATAAATGGGATAAGCAGTAAGAACTAGCAAATCTTCATGGAGCCTATCTCCATCAAGATGGGGAACACAGGGCAGCCCCACACAGAACCCCACACAGAGAGGAGAAACAAACACAGCTTGTTTATTAGAATCAAAAAAGAGAACTTTCTCCCACAAATACAGAATGCTGCCTCTCAATCTGTATCAAGAGCAAGACAACAGTTGAAAATTGTATTCCTGAGAAGAAGCAAAAAAGTTACCAGTTTGCAAACAAACTTAACAGGTGATTTCGACAAAAGATAAAAAAACTTTTTCTTTTCTTTTTTTTTTTAACAAAAACCAAAATTTCAAGTATTATTCCAGATGACATGGCAAACCTAACAGAGGAGGAAAGGGATCAGGAAGCAGTGGCCCCAGACCCACCCAGCTGCAGGGGGATCTCACAGGGCTGGCAACCTCATCCTCCCTCCACAAAAGGACCTGCCAGCCCTGCATTGAGGATAGTGGACGCAACTCACACACTTTAGAAAGGAGCTGCTAACCTGAAAGTCATGTCCAGGGTTAGCTGTTGTGGACATTTGATGATTGTTTTAACAAATAGAAACATATGCTCATTCTTTCAGATATCATACTATCCCCGATTTTAGTAAATTTGCAAATTATATTATTTGTGCTACAGTTTGTAATATTTAAATCTTATCAGATAAGCACCAAACCCATTAAAAATATATAAAAGGTATGGTTTCCTCAACAGCGTTGTATTCTGTACATCCTGTAGGCTGTAAACTTACTCTCCCTTTTCTTAAGCAGAATGCTTCTGATTAAACTTCCTCTTTTTCCCGTGAAATTTTTCCTGAAAAGAGATTTCCATTTTAACTGCAGTTATGGAAAAGCAGTATGGGATAAGCAGTACAAAAAGAGCAAACCTGCACTACCCCACCTCCATGGGTGGGGCAGCTGTGCACCTGGCAGGAGGCCTCAGCCAGCTGCTCCTACCACTCACCAGGAGGATGGCTGTGGCCAGAGGCTGCCTGGGAATAAACTCCACAAAAGGAAAAGTCACACAACAGAACTGACCAGAGACTCAGCATTGCTTAGGGGGACTGTAAAAATGCCCTTAATGTGTTGGTGTTCAGAATTCTTAACTGCAGCGTCCCTGCCTCCAGTGCTCCAATCTGCCTGTATGTCCCCTTGATGTTCAGTTCTTGAACCTGGTTTGTTCACAGATGTGATTGAATTTCCTGCAAAAAGAATTTGGTCACATCACACAAGACAACATCAGAGAAGTGTTCAAATTAACAAGGCTTTGAAACCACAAACTGGAGGAACCACATGAGAATTGTGTAAGTGTGTGTGTTTCTGGACTCACAGCAGTATGTTTTTAATAACATCAAAGAAATGAAACCCCAAAGTAGCCTTTTTCTTTTTTTAAATTTTAAAACAGAGGTGAAAACATCTTGGGTAATTTCCTTAGAGAAAAGCATAAGAGCTGTGCCTTTTCAGAGAGAGCCTGAGCCCTCCCTGTGTGTTTCCTGACAGGGTGGAGATAGGCGACCAGGCAGGTGATGGTGGCACCTCCCCTCTCCACAAGCCATGGGCAAGAGCAGAGACTTTGAGGAGGGAGATGGGATGTGTCTGTGTTACCTGAATCCCTACTTTCATAAGAAATGTTGGTTACTAGTGAAATCTCCTTTTTAGGGAAAAAATGGCCTCTTCCAACACTGTTTAAGCTCAAATATAACACAAGGATTTTATCCCAAGAAATAACTGCTTGATGGAATTTGTTTTGTCCAAGTCCACATCTCTCTCATTGTCTCAACTACTTCAATTTGAAACATAAATGCCTATTTGGGGATTATATACTGGCCAAGGAATTGACTGAGAGTGATCATCTCACTCAGTTGTTTAAGGAGATGGCAGAGAGATTAGTCCTAAATTCTGAGAATAACCTTTAAAGACCACACTGAAGACACCACAGTGGAGGTGACCCCGCTACAGTGATCACAAACACCCACGTACAGTATGGAAGACAACCAGCTGTCATAGCATTACGCTGTGGGCCTATGGCTTCCAACAGATGTTCTCCATGACCACAGCCACTGTCTCAGTGCTAAACCTCTCATGTCTGCTGTGCTCTGGAAGCTGTCAGAGGTGACTCCAGCCAAGAAAACAGAGAGCAAATGAACATCTGCATATAGAAATTTCAGGATATGAGGGCTGGGGATGTAGCTCAGGGGTGGAGCATTGCTCCACAGGCACAAGGTCCTGAGTTCAAGCCCCAGCACCATCCCCCCTCAAAAAAAAGAAAACAGGAAATGAGGTATCAAAAGAGGTGGAATCTCTCCATGAAGATGCTACTTTACATGCTGTGTGAGTTTACATAAGCATAATGTTACTGTACACATACACACACACACACACACACACACACACATTTTTTGGTGGTGATGGGAATGGAACCCATGGCCTTACACATACTATGCATGCACTCTGGGGATTTTTCCAAGGTCATAGAGGCAATAATGGAATCTTTTGTGTGTGTGTGTGTGTTGCTGGGCCTTGTGCATGTGAGGCAAGTACTCTACCAACTGAGTTATACCCCCAGCCCCAATAATGGAATCTTTATTTACATCCCTGAATGCCACTGAGCTACACCTCAGCCCCATACATTAGTGTGTCTGTGTATGTATACGCATATACATTTACATATGTATATACACCTCCCTCCAATTTTTTTTTAATAAGGGGATTAAATCCAGGGTTGCCTTACTACAGAAATACCTACCCAGCTCTTTTTAATTTTTATTTTGAGACAGGGTCTCACTAAGTTGCCCAGGCTGAACTTGAACTTGCCATCCTCCTACCTCAGCCTCCACATAGATGGGATTACAGAGGGATGACACTGTGCCCCACCAAAATTAGCATATTTTTTAGCAGACGGTGAACCACTGTAGTCCCCTCCCCAAGCCTGGTACCCCTGTCTCACTCACATGGCATGGTGGGCTTTCACCTGAGTGCGGCAGTTACGGCCCCAGTAGCAATCAGGACGGGATGCCACAGCCACTAGAAAAGAAGACAGTGCACAGCCATTACAGGCAACACCCCCACTCAGCTGCTGCATTTAAATAGGTACCCAAGGAAGCCACCACTGAGCATAAAGGGCCCTGTCACTCTTCATCACCAGTTTAGGACTGTGCAGGATTTCAGGAAAGGAAATCAAACTGGTAAAAAAGACACATTCAGGAAATGGAGTCCTCTAGCACTCTATCCAAAGTGTCCACGCACCTCTCCTTTAGCAACACACACTGTCTTGACTGGTGGAGGCAAACATGGCCTCACGCAGCCTGGGTGGCTCTTCCCCCTTCTGCTGTGGACTTCTGACAAGAACACAGCCCAAACAAGCACCTGTTAAGGACAGACACCAATCCTGAATTGGACTGGACAGAATTGGAGTTTGTGGAGTTCTTTACCTGGTAACTCAGAAGCAGGAATGTTCTGCCGATACTGATAGGTCAGCTCCCGGAAACTACGCAGCCCACAGCAGTAACACAGTACAGTGTTCCCAGTGATTCTGTAATCTGCAGGGAACACAGACGGTTATCGGGCAATGTCATTTTTCAAACAACAGAACAGATGCTGCACCTCAAACTCCTGCAATGCTAAGGACACTGATTCACACAATGGGACACAGAAGCTGAAAAAGAACATCAGAACCAATCTAGGTTCCAACTTAATGTTTCTCTTTTTTTTTTGTTTCAATATTGGAGATCATACTTGGAACATGATATAGCTCAGTGGTAGAGCGCTTGCCTAGAGTGCATGAGACTGAGTGGGATCTCCAACGTTGAAAGAAAAAAAAGAGAAAAAATAAATTGGATACTAGGTAAATCTGACTACATCAAAATGGAAACATAACAAATGTGAAATACTCATGATATGACTACAAGTGGCAATATATTTAAAACACAAAAAGCAATGCTATGTACTTAATTAACAAAGATATCCCACAAATCCACATCAAAACAAACCCTTAAAGAACCTAGTAGATTGGGCTGGGGTTGTGGCTCAGTGGTACAGCACTTGCCTAGCATGTGTGAGGCACTGGGTTTGATCCTCAGCACCACATAAAAATAAATGAATAAAATAAAGGTGTTGTGTCCATCTACAACTAAAAAAAAATATGTTTTTAAAAAAACCTAGTATAAATAAAGGCCAAGATCACAGGTAAGCACATGCCACACAAATGCAAAACGACTGGCTATAGTTGTCAATAATAACTAAATATGGGCAAATGAAACAACAACATGTCACTGTTGACCTTTCTCCCATTAACAAGACTTAGAGAGACATGTGGAATTGACAGGCAGAGAGATGCTCACCCTCATGCTCTGAGGCACTAGTGGGAGCCTACATAGCCTCAGGAAGGACAGTGTGCTCATGTGACAAAGTCTCCACCTGTGCATTGCTGCCCTGAGAGTCCCGCTTACTCTAAGGTGATGACTTCTCGGATCTACAACACTGCATGCTCAACAAATGTGGCATTGTTTAAAATAGTGAAGAACTGGAAATAACTGAAATACCCTTTATTAATGAATTAGCTAAATACACTATGGCATTAGAAGGCTGCACAACAATAAAAGTCGAGACTGGGATGCGTCTTCAGCTCAGCAGTGGAGTGCCTGCTTGGCACGCACAAGCCCAGGCTGGATTCCCAGCACCACATGCACCCATGCAAACCAGGGTATAGACCTTTCTTGGCATAAGGAGTGCATGATACATTGCTGAGGGAAAACCAGACACAAACAGCACAGGAGGGTGTTATCTGGAAGGCCATCCACAAACAGGTATTTGGAAGGGCCTAGAAGAGTGGTCACAAAAATACCACCTCTGCATATTTTTTGTGTGTGTGTGTGGTGTTAGAGATCAATGCCAGGGCCTGATGCATGCTAGGCAAGTGCTCTACCACTGAGCCACATCCCCAGTCCCTCGATGGAATTTTAAGCAAATCTCTCAAGTCTTTCTCTCATAATAATTAGTATCTCAGAAAAAAAACCCTGCTTGTTAATATTCCTTCGGCCTCCCTGGGTAGCAAAAGTCATACGCTACAAGGCACCTGTGCTACCCTGGTGGGGGGAGGGAACAGCCCCCACTGAGGGATCCACACACCAAGGGACAAACAAGGGTCTGGGAACAACCATCCTAGGACTTGGTGTAGGTGAGTGGTGAAGTCTCCCAAGCTATGCTCCTCCCATCCCTACAGAGCAGTCAGTTCCGGAGTATGCCATGCAGGCATAAGCACAGTGCTTTTCAAACTCAAAAATGAAGACTTTCTGTCTCTGCTGGGGTGGGTGGAGGTTGAAGTCATAAACGTAGGAAAGCAGACAGGTAGTACTACCCAGGGTGACCTGCCAGGTGCTCACTGCTGGGCAGGAGGCAAAGGCTGCCTTAGAAATCATTTCCATTCTACAGAGGGCAAGTGGAACAAGGCGAATGAAACAAAGCTCACCAGACAGTAAAAACACTCCCCGCTGAAGAGCCACAAGACTCTCTGTCAACATGTTTTTCCATGTCAGACCCCTGGTTGCCAGGTAATTCTGCAGGACAAAAAGGCAATAAGAATAAAGACTAGTCTAGAGGCAGAAACACTAAACAACAAGAGAGAAAGCACTTCATGAGAAGCCTCTGAGGTGGCTGAACCCATGGCACAGCTGCCCATGGGCAGCCCTGGCCCACAGGGCTCCTGGTATGAGCCTCTTTGGGCCTCAGAGAGGGCTAGCCTTTGAACCCCAGGTGGAAGAGGCATCAGAGTCTCTCAAAATCCTACAAAGGCATTCACAGCACAGGTACAGCTGAAACAACCTTGTCAACGTCCCATGACAAGAGAGGATGAAAACCTGGCATCTGCTGTCTGCCCTCTGGAAACATGGAGCAGCTGGCCCCTCTAATGGAAGCCTACAGAAAAGCACCCCATATAGGGCTGGGGATGTGGCTCAAGCAGTAGTGCGCTCGCCTGGCATGCGTGCAGCGCGCTGGGTTCAATCCTCAGCACCACATACAAATAAAAAATAAAAATGTTGTGTCCGCTGAAAACTAAAACAATAAATAAAAAAAAAAAAAAAAAGAAAAACTCCCCAAATAGACCCAAAAGCAGGTGTAGAGCTGCTGAGAGGACCATGCCTGTCAAATGTCCATGGCAAACAGGAAGCCCTGCTCTTGTTGTGCCGTCCATAGTGCTGGACGCAAGCAGGAGGGAAGCCAGGTCCACAGCAGGAAGCGCAGGTTCATATTAAGCATGTGAAATGGGAAGGAACAAAGTCAGAGAGGAGGGCCAGAACTTCCCAGAAACCCTCTCTGAACTGTAGGAACCAATTCCTATGGATTCATGACACTATGGCAAAAAGGAAATGCCTATTTTTGAAATATGTGGAAAAACAGACATATACCAATGGGAGGGGCAGAGCTAAGCAGATCACTATTCAGAAAATTTACAAGGATTCACTGAAAGTAACTACAGAAGTGAAGGGGAGGCCTCCTGTTGGCACTGAGCCAGGCGTGTGTGACAGGCACCTTCAGGATGTCTGACTCGTAGTTATTGCTGTTCAGCACTCCATCCAGACACTTGTCCCCCAGGTTGAGCTCTGCCAGGGGAAGGGAAGCAGAATTATCTGTTTTATAAAGACAACATTGCATCAAAGAATTGTTTGCCTGATGGGATAACCAAATTTCTTTTCATTATAGATTATGCAAAAACTAAAAATTCCATAATAAAATGAGATTATAATACAGAAAAATTATTTCCATCACCCTCCCTCCTTAAAATGATAAGATCTGAGTTTGTGAACACCTGGCTTGGTGTCAGAAAATCGGGACCACTGAGGAAGATTATTTTCTCAGGAGAGGTAATTCTATATGCATAAATAAACCCTCCTGCATTGGAAGTTCATTATCTCCTTAACTGCTCCACGTGGCTTGACTGTGAGCCAACATGAATTCCACACTTCCAGCATGTTTAGCAGGAGAAGGCAGGTGGGTACCTAGTGAATGACAGGGCCCACCCCTGCCCCTGCACACACCAGGCCACAAACACCACCACCACCTGCTCTGAGGTCATCAAGAGAACACATGCAGGGCTGAAGAGGTGATCTTACCACAGAAAGGGGCAAGGCAGCCAAAGCAACCAGTGCGGGTGCAGCCCCAGTACAGGTGACAGAAGGGCTGTAGGCAGACTGAACCTGTGGACAGAGGACAGTCAATCAGGCCCCAAGTGCTGCGAGAACACTCAGCACCAGACTCAGGGGCTCACCTCTTTGAAAACCACATAGAAGGGGTTTCCAAGGAAGTGGGCACAGAGGTGACTTTCCAGCCAAAGCCTAGCATCAAAGCTGACTGAACTGTAATGACTAAGCCCTTAGAAAAAAGCCAGACCCATGACCACATGTGTCCCATCATCCAAACAGCTTGCAGGGATTCCCTCTGGCTCTGAGCATATGTTCTACCTGAGTATTTTGTCACACTATTGCCTTTGTCATTATTATTATTATTATTATTATTAGTAGTAGTAGTAGTAGTACCACCACCAGGGAGTGAACTCAGGGGCGCTTGATCTCTGAGCCACATCCCCAGCCCTATTTTATATTTTATATACAGACAGGGTCTCACTGAGTTGCTTAGTGCCTCACCATTGCTGAGGCTGGCTTTAAACTTGTGATCCTCCTGTCTAAGCCTCCTGAGCTGCTGGGATTATAGGTGTGGCCACTGCACCCAGCAAAGCTGGAGTTTTGACAATTTGTAGAGCTATTCCCTGAGCTGTGGCTTGTTGGCCATCTTGTGTGTCTCAGGCACTCTGAGGTGAGCATTCTCTGTGGCTGCTCATACACCATGCAGTGGGCAGTGACCGCCCAGAGGATACCCTAGTGCCCTTTTGCCTGACCTGCAATACACAGCCCACCACCCTGCCAGGCCCCTCCAGCCTGCCAAGCTCAGTGTCAAGAGCAGTGCCTTCCAAGTGCCACTTTGGATGGTGTGCTGGTGCTGTGCCCCTGGCATCCAAGACAGCAGCTTGCGCCCAGCAGGGACTGGCTGATGCTGCCATTTGGGTCCATGCTTCTCTTCATTCAACAGCAACAGCTTAGCACATGCAGAGCTCACATAGTCAGGAAATATTTTTTAAAAAGCCTATGTACATGGACAGACATTTCAGGCAAGAGTAGATTCAAATGGCCATCAAATAAATGATGGGCTTTGTTTTGATGGCAAAGAACTGTAAACTAAAAACACCCTATTTCATCTGTTAGATCTATAAGTGACACATCATACAGTGATTGGTGCTGATGTGGGGATGGTTGTAGATCCAGAACCCAAGAGGACCTGGTCTCCACAGGCAGCATTAGTACAGTTCAACATAGTCACATGGGGTCAACACCTATGATCCCAGCAGCTTAGGAGGCTGCTGCAGGAGGGTCCCATGCTTCAGGTCATTTTGGTTTTGGCAAACCCCACTGAGACATCACATCTCAGCTTGGCCAGACTGTGCGATGAAATAAAACATAAAAAGAGGGGGATGCAGCTCAGTGGTGGGCCATTTAGCCAGCAAGTACAAGCTCCTGGGTTCAACCTCCAGTATTAGGGTGAGGGTGTGGAAGAAACGACATTACATCTTACTTCACACCTCACACAAGGTCAACACATCTGAAACATGAGCCAGGGGCACCGCAGGCAGCCTGGCCTACTCACATTGCTGAGGGGCCACACGTGGGTCCTGCTCCCGCTCCGCTCTCCGATCAGGCATGGGCTGGAAGCAGCAGGTGCAGATGGCGTGGCTTCCTTGTAGAGGGCACACATAATCCTGGGCTGCTGAGGTACAGGCATGTTGGGACATAGGCAGAAAGACGGCAGATAAGAGGTTCACATCTAGAGAAGCAGCTAGCACACAGGAGGAGAGACAGGCTTAAGAGAGGACAGAAGATTTTCAGACTGTCCCTGAGGAGTCAGATGATATCCTGCCATGTAAACTAAGAGATTTTGAGTAGATTGAAAAATAACCAAAAATGGGGTCTGGCTTAGTGGTAGAGCACTTGCCTAGCATGCATGAGGTCCTGCTTCCATCCCAAGCACCAAAAAAATAAAAATAGAAAGAACCAAAAACTGTTTTTTGGTTCAGGGGTTGTAACCAGATTTCAAAGATCAGTCAGAGGTTTTCTAATATTTCCTACAAAGGAAAAGCACGTATATTATAAAAAAACAAAACATGCTACATATTTAATTTCTGCTGAGACAAGAGAACAGTTATGTCCTTCCAATAACAAAAGGCAGGCATGGTGGGCAAGGGACCACCTGATCTGGCATCAGGAACTCTGTCCACATGGTACGTTCCCTAGACACTTACCACCCATATAGAGGAGACCATGGGGAGGTTACCATGCTAACCATCACAACTCAATCCACTCTAAGGGTCACAGAGCACCTACAGCACTCAGGCTCTATCTGTGTGTGACACATATTCTACATGCATGGGCCTAATTAGTAATTTGACGGCCCAAGGCCAGACACTGGTGGATCCTGTTATGAAAGACAGGAACATGCAGAGTGGGGAAGTCACTGGGTACTGAGTACCCTTGCCAACGGCAGAACACTGCCTTGCCTGTCCCATACACAGGTCCTAGATGCCACCAGGAGAACTGTGGCTACAGTGCAGCAGGGTGGTCAAGGACATGGCTCTGAGGCACAATCTTGAGCTGGTGGTCTCATGACAAGTCCAGGCTGAGCCCTGGCTGAGAGGCTAGGGGCTTCAGGCTATCTTTACATTCTGCAGAGACCACAGAATGGGTGGGGCCAAGAGTGCTCCTTTTTTCCTGGTGCTAGGATTTGACCCAAGGGCCTTACACATGCTAATTATGTGCTCTACGACTGAGCTAGACCCCCCAGCCCCTCTCTTGCATTTTTGGGAGGCATCTGGAGATCCACCTGTTGGAAATGGGCAACTGACAGGAGAAAGCTCAGGGCAACTCTGGAGATGTGAGCCTGTTTCTGAGGACTGGGCATCCACTGCTGGAGAGAGGCCAGCCTCTCATGGGAGGGACAGATGTGTGGTCCTATTTTGGTTTTGGCAAACCCCACTGAGACATCACCTGCCCTAAAGCAGAGGACTGGGGATGGACCAAGTGTTAAAATCAGGACTAGTAATTCCCAGGCAAGTCCAGAGGAGACCCCCACATAAACAGCAGGTATTTATTAGATCCTCCCTGAGACAGATTATAAAAACTGAGAGGATCTGAGAGGCAGTGGGCCATGCAGGCCAAGGACTGGAGGGCAGAAGTCCCCCAAGTGGAAACAGTATAGAAGGCCAGAACAACAGGGGTCACAACAACGCGACGTGGGGCTAGATGCTGCTGTCTCACCTGCCGTGAAGCTGGCAGACGCTGATGGTGCATCCCCACCAAGGGCCTGCTGGGCCCCCGGCTCACTGTCGGGTGCTGGGCAGGGAAGGGGCTGCACCGCTTGCCTTCTGTACTCGGGGCACTGTCTGCACACGATGTATGGCTGACTGCAGGAAGAGCAAGCGGCAGAGCTGCAGCCATGGAGGAGCAGGCCCCCAGGCACTGGTGCAGCTCTGCATCTGAGACAAGGACAGACCCTGGGCAGCACCTTACCATGCCAACCCGAAGCTGTCTTCCTCTGTGGGGCCTCAGCCCCTTCACACTTTTTCTCTGGCCCTGCACAGCTCCACTCCCACCACTGCGTGTAAAGGACAGGGTAGGCCCTTCTTTCCTGCCCAGCCCCAGCTGCTGGAGAGGGCATTATCCAGAACCACCCAAACAGGAATCTGAGGGTGGGCACCCACTCACCCATGCAGGCCACCACCCTGTGCCATTGCTCATCCCCAGGCTTCAGAACACCAGATCCTGGGTCACGCTGAGCTGACGAGGGGCCTGGGCTCACATGAGACCACAGCACAGGCACTGCTTCCCCTTGTTAAAGCCAGCGCACATGCCACGTCCGAAGAGACTCTCCTCTAGTGACCTTCCAACTGGACAGCGGGAGCCCTGCACCACTCATCTCTATGGCCTGTGTTGCCGTGGATTGCTTGTCTTTATGGCACCTCAGAAACTACTCGGCAAAAAGGTAGACTGTAAAAAAGAATCCTCTGAAAAAGTAGGAGGCTCTTATCTTAGAGAATGCTTTCTAAGGCAATGAGGGTCAGGAATGGATAAGCTGATCAGATAAAAATGCCACAGTGAAAAGATGCTCATTTGTAAACAAAAAATGTAAATGAAAAGGACATTACTGTTTTCTCATACTAAGCTGGCAAAGAGCATCCTTCACATATACCTCAGAGAGTGGCATTAAAGTGACCTTTCTGATGGGCACTGGATAACATGCATAAAAGTCCAGCAAGGTAAAATTCCTGGCCATGCCTATCTCCACAGTCATCCTGGTGAAACTGCTGGACGTATGCACAGGGGTGACCACAGGACGGCCTGCAGCACTGCTTCCAGAGGCAGGGTATTGGGAAGGCTTCAGAATCCCGAGTGCAACATGCTCCCATCTTTACAGAACACTCAATTGGTTTTTACATTCTACTTTGTAAAGATGTACACGGATGAACACACGAAAAACCCAGTGGACACAGTGAGTGGTAACACTCAGGCTGAGGGTGTCACTGCTGGTAGAGGGCTTGCCTTAGCATGCACAAGGTCCTGGGCTTGATCCTCAGAACCAAAGGAAAGAAAAAAGAAGAAAAGAGAAATAAAATGTCAACACTGAAGTGATTCTTGGGTTTTCTTTCTTTTGCTGGATCACCATCACTAAATTTTGCAAAAACAAATAAAGATGATTAAAAGTTTTGAGCTTTGTTTATTGTCTTTTTAAATATTATAGCCTAGGCCTGGGGTTGTGGCTCAGTGGTAGAGTGCTCGCTTACCACATGTAAGGCACTGGGTTTGAACCTCAGCACCACACAAAAACGAAATAAAGATATTGTATCCAGGGTTGGGGCTGTGGCTCAGAGGTAGAGTGCTCACCTACCATGTGTGAGGCACTGGGTTCGATCCCCAGCACCATGTACAAATAAAATAAAGATATTGTGTCTACCTATAACTAAAAAATAAATATTAAAAAAAGATATTGTGTCCATCTACAACTAAAAAATAAATATTAAAAAATAAATAAATAAATATCATAGCCTTGGCCAAAAATGAAAACTCTGATTTCAGAGTTGGGGAAGAAGATCTAGGGCTATGTCCTCTTAGCCAGGGGACAGCGCTTTTTCTGTGATACTGCCATTTATGGTAGAAGAGAACACCGTCACTAGATAAACTACAGGGAAACATAGTGCTTACGTGGGGAAAAAGTAAAACTTAATTACAACACTCTGTAGGACCAGTGAGTCAGGACCCATGTGAGGCGACTGGCTCCACTGCAAGAGGGTACAGAGCTTGTCTCTGTTACCTGTAGTAGTGGACAACGGCAGGTGGGTCACAGGGAGGAGCACTCCATCCAGCCAGAGTAGCAAGCTGCGCAGAACGTGTGCATGCAAGGCTGCACATCCACTCTCTGCCAGCTCACCCAGTCCTGGCCACTCTCCAGCATCAGAAAACAAGCTCAGACCACAGGAACCCGGCTACCCACCCCACAGCAAACTCTTAATCAGAGAACTGGCTGCACCTCTGGCTCCAAGACCCCATTCCCAGGCAGGAACAGGGACTACCTGATGTCTGAGGACTCGCTGTCAACATCTGACAGCTCCAGCAGGTCCTCTGAACTCCCCTCTTCATCAGAAAAAGACCTCTTGACTTTGGGCTGCAGCATGTCTTGGGTGATTTTATTCCTGGCATCCATACTTCTCATATCTTCTTCACTGCGACTCTTGTCTAGATTCAAAGAACACAGTAGCTTTCACTGACAGCAAGGCATGCCCAGTGAGACACACAGCCTTCTCTCCTCAGAGCTGAGCTCCCCACCCTGAGGAAGGGAGAGTCTGCGGAGGGGCTGGCCCACTTGCCTGGGTGCTGGATGAGGTATGCTTCCACAAGGTTGTTGAGGATGTGGTTCTTACAGATCCGCTCCACTGGACAGCGGCAGGTGGGACACAGGGAGGAGCGCTCCATCCAGCCAGAGTAGCAAGCTGCACAGAACGTGTGCATGCAGGGCTGCAAGCTAGAACAAGAGGAACCCCTCTTCAGACAGAAGCCTCCAAAGATTGGCCACTAGGACCCCTGGAGCAAGACGTGCAGCAGGCCTTCCCAGGCAGAAGGGCAAGCTGATCAAAGCCAGGGGCTGACTGTGGAGCCCAGCCATCACTCTCACAGAAAACACTTTAATCAGGCTTGGTTGATAAAAAGAAACTAGAGGTCACACTGCTTCTGTGTCATCAAAAGGGACAGAGGAAAGCAGATTATGACTGCAGAAACATGGGCAACAGGAACCAGCGTCTCAGGATTGGAAGCTGGGTAAGGCTACACCTTCTAAGTAGACACTAGAGTAAAGAGAAGGCTCATCTGGGCTGCTCCTGGGATATACATTCTATGACAGTGTTAAACATTTCTTTAACCAGGAAACATTTAAAACTTGGTATAGTGCATCTGATCTGTCTGCAAGCTAGACTTCGGGTTCACTGGGTTACCCATAGCCCATGTCAGTCAAAACCAATACTGCCAAAATCTGTGGATTCTACAGCCCTAGTCTCCTGGGTAGCTCTTCAAGTACGATGAAAATAGCACCTTAGTAGTCCCCATGCCAAAGAGGACCTAACAGCTGCTTCGTTGGCAGCCTCCTCCTCCCAGTGGCCAGGGTCCACTGTGAGCCAGCTGGGGTGTCAGCGGCACACCTCACGCCAAAAAGGACCTGACAACTGCTCCACTGGCAAACCCCTCTTCACCCCCTGCCCCCGCGATCCACCGTGAGCCAGCTGGGGCGGGGGTTGGCAGCACACCTCACGCAGTCGTGCAGCAGGTCCTGGCAGATGATGCATGTGAGCGTCTCCTCCATCTTGTCTGGCTTCATGGCAGCAGCTCTGACATCCTCACGGGGAGGTTGGGTATTTCTACCCTGGTCTGCAACCAACTGCTGCAGGTTCGGGTCAAGTGCCTCACCTAGGAGAGAAAGGCATATGTTCTGACAGGCACACCACAGCAGAACTTGATGCACAGCCTCGTATTATAGAGCCCAGCCTGGAGACCAGGGGACTCCTCAGGCTGCAGAAGCAGTGCTGACCTTACGTTTGTATCTACAAAGACCATTTTTAGGGTGGCTCCAGATAAGGCTCATGTTCCAGTATGTTTACGTTCTGGTGTAGAGGAACAGTTTCTGACATAAAATGACACACACGATGTATAGCTAAGAAAGAAAGGATAAGCTAGGTGCATGTCTATAGTACCAGCTACTTGGGAGGCAGAGTCAGGAGGGTCACGTGAGCTCAGGAAATCAAAGCCAGCCAGGGAAGCACAGCAAGACTCTACCTCAAAAAAAAAAAAAAAAAAAGGTGGTGGTGGGGGGTGCAGGCTGAGAGGCTTGGGTTAGGGACCACAGACCTGTAATCCCAGCAAGTTGGGAGGTAGAAGGCATGCAAGTTCAAAGCCAGCCTGAGCAATTTAGCAAGACCCTAATAGCTTAGTGAGACCCTGTGTCAAAATAAAAAATACAAAAGACTGGTGATGTGGCTCAGTGGTTAAGTACCCCTGGATAGAGGAAGAAAGAGAGAGATGGGCCAGCTGTTAAATAGTATTTGTCTTTTTTTTTTTTTTTTTTTTTAGGAGAGAGAGAGAGAGAGAATTTTAATATTTATTTATTTTTTACTTTTCGGCGCACACAACATCTTTGTTTGTATGTGGTGCTGAGGATCGAACCCGGGCCACACGCATGCCAGGCGAGCGCGCTACCGCTTGAGCCACATCCCCAGCCCATGTTAAATAGTATTTGTATAAATGTAATTTTTTAAAAAAACAAATGAAAAAGCATGATGCCTGAGTACACAGGAACATGCTAGAAAACAAGACTAAGATGGCACCAGTGGCTTTAAGATGCTCCTTCTCCTGTTATGTTTCTATTGCTCAGGTGTAAGCTCAGATGTTGGTTGTCACAGGTCAATTAATTTATTTATTTTGGTACTGAGGTTTGACCCCAGGGTACTGGACCACTGAGCTACACCGTTTTCTTATTTTTTATTTTGAGACAGAGTCTAGCTAAGTTGTCTAGGCTGGCTTTGAACTTGTGACCCTCCTGTCTCAGCCTCCCAAGTTGCTGGGACTATAGAGGCCTGTGTGCCACATGCCCGGTAATTTTTATTTTTAAAGAAATATTAAACATGCAACTTAAGTCATATAGAAGAATGTAGTCACCTCTGCCCAGCCTGCCTTCACTGCAATTTCACCAGGTGAAGAAACCACTTCCACGTCTTTTACTGCACCTTTTGGTATTCATTTCCATGTATTTAAATTATAATGCTACATTGACTTATTAATTTTGTTTTATTTAGTGCTAGAAATTGAACTCTGGGCCACTCACATTAGGCAAATGCTTTATCACTGAGCTACATCCGCAGCCTTGATTTACCCATTTTAGAAATCATCACCTGATATCTACCAACACAGGAAGGTGTTTAGGCCCCTGAAACCTTCTTCCCAATATTATCTAACAGGACTGTGGGTTAACTGCAGCAAATGGCTTTCATTGTATTTATGTAAGCATTTTCTGCTGGGCGGAGCAATATACCAAAATTACCTTTTCTGATTTACACATTTTTTCATCTTTCTGGAGTTATATAATTGCCTCGTTTTTATATGTGTGTATTTTTTGCTATAAAACTGCTGCTGATTTTTCCCACGCCTTCCCCAAGTTGATTAACTAACTCCCCAGTCTTCACATAGCTCCATTTCTCCCAAAGACCAACTTCCTGGGTCCCGTAGTGCCCCGGGCCTGTTGCACAGCTAGCATTACCCACCACATTTCCACATCTTAAAAATAATCTCTTAAATTTTGGCTTTTAAAGTACAGACATTTTTTCTCTAAATCATCTTCAATGTGAAGGCTCAAACTATCATCTAAGACAACATCAAAGCAGGGCATTGTGGTGCACATCTATAAGTCTTAGGAGGCTGAGGCAAGAGGATTGCAAGTTCAAGGCCAATCTGAGAATTTAGAGAGACTCTTCTCAAAATGAAAAATAAGTTGGGGTTGCAGCTCGGTGGCAGAGCACTGTCCAGCATGCACAAAGCCGTGGGTTCAACCCTAGTTACACACACACACACACACACAAAAAAAATCTAGAGAGAGAACTCTGGCATCCATGTTGCAATTAGGAATATACTACCTCTAGACCCAAGACTGTAGCCTGGTGGCAAGCAGTTCCATCCAGATCACACAATGGGAAAGAAAAGGCCCCAATTTCATTTAGCAAATGTGAGGTGCTGCAGTAATCATCTGAAGGGGTCTCCATGGGTAAGCACAAATGAAGCCACATGCAAGGCCATGGCCACCAAGCCCAGAGTACTCCTAGCACCTCGTGGAAAGGGCAGAGGATGCATGGAGCTGCAAGACCAACCTGCTTTCATTTTCTTTTTCATGGGCTCCAGATCCTCCTGGTTCTGGGGTTCCAGCAAAGAAAACTGTGCTCCCTCTCTGTCTGGGAGAGCTGACGTAAGGCTGGAGAGTTCACTACTTCCCACAGATGGACCACATCCTTTTAGGGAAAATCCTGTACCCCCGGGTCCTGTGAAAAGGGAAAAACAAGACAGGTTCTAATTTCTCTATTTCATGAGAGAACATGCTGGTAAAGTATCACTGATTTAAGCCAAATGCAATCCGCAGTCCAAGATGTCATAGTTTAAGAATGACACACCACTTCTGCTATGTCGATACCATGAACATCATGTCTTATATACATTTGGGCCCATTTCTGTGTGAGTGGAGCTGGGGGCAAAAGCACATTCACAAGGGAAGAAATGCAGATATGTCTTTGACAGGACCAGCCCTGAGCACTGGTGGACCATGTGCAAACCCACATGCCAACAATCACACAGTGCACATTTCAGGGCGAATGTTCCAAATAGAGGCCCATGTGAAGCAGAGGCCTTTGGCAGGAGTGGAACAGTTGTATGATCATGGGAAGGAAGAGGGCGGTCATTGGCAGGCATAGAAGAAGAAGCTAGAGACACATAACTGGAAGGAGTTTGGCAATTTACTACATCCTCTGTCTTCATTGAGATCTAGTTTGGAATATCACAGTATGACAGGTATGTAGTCCATGATATTCAAACCATGTTATATGATAAACTTAGAGTAGCTGAGGAGAAAAGAATGACTTTGGAAACAGCTGAACCCCTGTACTGAGGGGAAAAGCTAACAGCTCCCGGGCTGGCTCCTGTCCCCACCACTCACTCACACTACAACTGTGAGAGGCTGCTGTGCTTCGATCTCCAGAATAAAGAGCATGGTAATGGCTCCTCCCTGACTGGCTCCATCAAGGAGTCTTAACCAAAAAAGAGCACTTACTACACTATCTCATGTCTAATAGGTGCTCAACAAGTCTTCACCATAGTTACTTTGTTAGTGTAAGTGTTTTGCTACTGTTAATGTTTATAAGTATAATTGTTTTCTTAGTGTTAGTGTTTAGTGTTAGTGTTTATAAGCATATTATACATATATGCTTAGGCATATGGACAGAAAAAATTTTATTATTTAAAATTTACAAATATATGAATGCATTACCTCTTTAAAGAACTTAGAACATAATCACAGTTTACCAGACTAAACACAATGCACACAGATGGACGGACTAAAAGATTATCTAACTTAAGGTTCTCTTTAAACTGTCCCATGCCTGAGTTCTGAGGAAGTCCTTATAATATTCATAAAATGCCAGGTTAGGATGACAGATGTGGCATGCCTGACCTAAGCATGTGGCTAGAGAGCTGCACCCAACCCAGAGCCTGCCCTTGAGTGTGATGAGCCATGCAAATGGACTGAGTAGCACTTCCACTTCTTTGGGACTATCATGGCATGGAATGAGTCACAGGTGTTGGAACCAGTTGTGGAGAGCCAGCACACATCCCACCTGTGCTATCTATACTTGAGGAACCCTGGTGAAGGTGCACAGGCCTAGAGAGCTTTAAGACTTTATCTAGTTGATCACTCAGGTCTGGCATGTTTGCCTTTTGAATGTGATTGCAATTTCTTTCATTCATAAATTTGAGGTAATTATGTTAAAATGAAGGCATATCAAGAGACTTTGAGAAGCTGGGGCTTTAGTTTAAAAGTTTACATGGGCTGGGCATGGTGGCAATGCCTATGATCCCAATCATTCAGGAGGCTGAGCAGGAGGACCAAAAGTTGAAGACCAGGCTGGGCAACTTAGCAAGACCCTATCTCAGAACAAAAAAATTTTTAAAAGCTGGAAATGTAGCTCATTGATATGAGTGCCCCTGGATGGATTCAACCCCAGTATTGGGAGGGGGGGGACACTTCATTGAAAAATCAAAGAACACCAAGTACAGTGGTACATGCTTATAATCCCAGCAGCCTGGGAGACTGAGGCAGGAGGATCACAAGTTCAAAGCCAGCCTCAGCAATCTAGCAAGGCTCTAAGTAACCTGATGATACCCTGTCTCAAAACAAAAAATAAAGAGGGCTGGGGATGTGGCTCAGTGGATAAGCACTCCTGGGTTCAATCCTTGGTAGCAAAAAAAAAAAAAAAAAAAAAAAAAATCAAAGACCTTAATAACCAGGGAGAAATAACATCTTCCTGATTTTGTAAAAATATCAATTCTCCCCAAATCAATATCTCAAAAAGATTTCTTTTTAACTTGAAAAGCTAATTCTAAAGATAATCTAGATGAAAAATACAAGTGAATAACTGAGAAAGTAAACTAAAAAAAAAAAAAATCAAAAATCAAAGCAGACTGTGGTCTAATTACTGAATACATGTGTACACCACCTGCAAGGACACATTCATATTATACTGCACCTGGATGTTCTGACTTTATCCCAATAACTGTGGGGAAAGCCAAAAAGAGCTAAGCTATCAGGAACAAGGCATGTAAAATTGGTTTCAAACTATACATTTCTCTGCTGAGCTTAGTGGTACATTCCTGTAGTCCCAGTGACTTGGCAGGCAGAGGCAGGAGAATCATAAACTTGAGGCCACCCTCAGCAACTTAGGGCACCCTGTCTCAAAATAAAATAAAAAGGACTGAGGTATATAGCTCAGTGATAGAGCACTTGTATAGCAAGCACAATGCCTGGGGTTCCATCCCCAGTACCATTTTTTTTTTTTTAATATGCTCTACCCTGAGTAAACCCTGAAATATTATACCAAGTGAAAGAAGTTGGTCACAAAAGACCATATACTGTATGATTCCACATATGTGAAATGTCCAAAACAGGCAAATCTAAAGCAACGTATTTCCTTTCAAGTGACAGAATGTTCCAGACTCAGTGATCATGGGCATGCAATTTTGTGAATATACTAAAAACCACTGATGTGTACACTGTAATTGTGTGATGTGTATAGTATATGGAGCATACCTCAATAAGAAATAAGAGAATATAGAAATACCATGGTACCTGCAGTATTTCTCTTGGGGAAGGACAGGTCAATACTTGCCACTACAGAACTCCTGCTAAGGAGAGCCTTGGTTGAGGCTTTTCTGTCTGTGACAATGTGGTAAAGATTAGGAAACAAAGCACCGTGGTTGTCACCGTGACCTCCTCCATCTCACCAGAGCTGAAGGAATGTTCTCGCCCTGTGGCAGTCGGCTCTGTGGAAGAGGTGGAGGCCCTGGGGAAGAGGTCTGATGTCGACGTTGATGGCTGTGGTTCCTCCAAGCATGCCTGAGTGGCGGGAGACAACGAAGGTGGGACCTGGGGGTCGTCACCTCGTCCTGGACCTGAGGACTCTTTGGTCACATGGAACACATTTTCTTTATTGGCTTCTGCAAGCACAAAAGGAACGCATACTGAGAGCCCAGGAAGACATCCCAGGGCTGGAACCAAAGTACACTGTCCCCCACGCATCCATGTCTTTGCCACAAGATCACTTACCAAAGGATTCTCGTGTCATGCCTTGCTTTTCACGTAGAGATTCATAGAGGTATGCCACATCTAGGAGTAAATCAACCCTATCAGAGGGTGGCCATGTAGGAGGGGCCCCTCATCTCGCAGCCCATCTACCTGCTGATTATCTTCACTTACCAGCCAGTAACCACATTCACCAGTTTAAGAGATTCTAACACAATTGACGTGCAACATCTTTGCCAACTAAAATAAGAAGCCTCAGGGAATGACCTCAGGAAGCAGACTAAGGCAAATAATACATGCTGCTCATAATTAAAGAAAAGAACAAACTCAAGATTCTTCCATGTGGCAAGGGGCTGGTTTTATGCCCACTGTGCCCTAAGGAACCTTTGCCCCTGCTTCTTCTTCCTTACCAAGGAAGATCTTCCTGTGTTCTTTGAGTCTCAAGGATGCCTTTAAATCAGAGGGCTCCCAGCACTCCTTGTCCTACTCAGTGATCATGGGCATGCAATTTTGTGAATATACATCATTCTCTCTCTCTCTCACACACACACACACACACACACACACACACACAGTCCTGGAGTTGACCTTCACTGCCTCCTATACAGTCTCCAAGAGCAGAGCCAACAAGGGCCCAGGCCCTCTTCCTAGGTTTTGCTCCCCACAGCTCCAGTTCTTCCACCTGGCCCCACTTGCTCCTCCTTGGCTGTTTTGATGCGCTGCTCACAACTATGGAGGCATTCTTGAAGAAAGGCTCTGACTGTGGTCGACACTACCATTCTCCAGCTGTTTACACCAAGAGTTCACACAACAACAAAGGGAATATATACAGGAGACACCTGTGCCAACACTTTCTAAAGATATGCCCCAGCCTCAGCTGGACACTCCCTTAGCACAGCACTGGGGATGAGTCTAGCCAGTATGTTTTCCTCTCTTACTGTGTTCGGGCTCGTTTTTCCTGTACACCAAGTAGATGACATCCCCCGTCTGCAGAGGACAAGTCTGCTTCTTAACCACCTTCAGCTTGTTGATCACAGTTCCGTTGGTACTGTAAAGAAAACAAAGTGCAATTTATCCTTCTCAAAGTAATTTGGGATTAAATTATTTTTCTACCACCATTAGGAAACTGGCTCAATATTATCATTTTGAAAATACTCATAGGAATGATGTAACTATTTTACAATGCACATATTCAAGTACCCTCTTAAAATTCTCTTGGGGAAAAAGCTTGCCTGTTACTCCTTTACTGACAACCTACCTGGCAACCAAACCATTTGTCTCATCGAGTGTTTTAATAATTCTGCTACTCCCATGCCAGACTCCCTTCGCGTGCCTCCTGGTGGGTCCCGAGGCCCCTCAGCAGCATTGTGCTTCCATTTCCAGCCTCTTGTGAGTTGTGGGCAACACTGTCCACATGTGCACCCTGGCATCGCATCCCCCAGATAAGCATAGCTCCCTCCTAAGAGATGGGCGCTGGCTCTTGGGAAGATGACTTGGCCCCTGTGCTCAGAACACATAGCCTGGATCAGCAGTGGCCACACTGCTGGATGGGAAAGGTCAAGATCCATGGTATAAGGGGAGGACCAAGTAAGAGGGAACAGGAAGTGTTTCCTGGGGAAGATCTAATGGTGTCCAGGAGTCAGCTACATGACAGATACTGAATGCATAAAACTCAGCACCTGAACCACCACATGCCTCAGCTTTGCAGGCTCACTAGGAGGAGGGGATTCACATCTGAGCAGTTCACTTAGGTCAGGGAACAGGAAACATTTTCTGTAAAGAGCCAGACAATAAGAGTTCCTGTTCTGTGGTCACAAAGTCTCTGTCCAACTACTCAGCTCTGCTGCTATAATGTAAAAGCCGCCAATGACAGCATGTAAACAGTCACAGCCATGCCCAGTAAACCTACAACAAAAGCTGGATATGAGCTGGCACAGTAGTTCACAAATGTAATCCTAGCATCTCAGAAGGCTGAGGCAGGAAGACCACAAGTTCAAAGCCAGCCTCAGCAACTTAGAGAGGCCCCATGCATCTTAGCCTTGTCTCAGAATATAAAATGGGCTAGGGATGTGGCTCAGTGATTAAGCACCTCTGGGTTCAATACCTGGTATCAAAAAAAAAAAAAAAGCTGGATGTGGTGGTGCACACCTGTAATCCCACCTACTCTGGAGGCCAAGGTAGGAGAATTGCAAGTTGAAAGCCAGCCTCAGCAACTTGGCAAGACCCTGTCTCAAAAGAAAAATTGGAGATATAGCTCACTGGCAAAGCATTCTTGGATTTGATCACCCGTACTGGAAGAAAAAAGAAAAAAAACCTCCAACAAGCAGTGCATCAGTGTGTTGACCTCGACCATGCAGTACAGCAGGCCCTCAGCCCCCACAGCTCACCCTCAACCATCCTCCTCCCCAGCTCCTGCAATGACTTCCCACTGCTCTCAGCTGGAGCCCACACTCCCTGGAGTGGCTTCCCGTGCACCACTCTGACCATATATCCCAGTACCTCTGGGCCTTGGCCATGCAGTGCCTCTTGCCCGGCTGCCCCTTCCCCTGTAGCCTGCCTCTGCCCAGGCACGCAGCATCTCTGGATGCTAGAGAAAGGAAGGAGTGGAGTCTCCCTGGAGCCTCTAGAAGGAACCACTAGTCCAGACCTTGATTTTATCTTTTCCTTGCTTTTTATTGGTGCATTGCAATTACACATAACAATGGGATTCATTGTCACACATTCCATGTGTGTGTGATATAACTATAATTTGGTCAGTATTGTTCCAAACCTTGATTTTAGCCTAGTTAGACCCATGTTGGACTTTGAAACTACAAAACTAAGATGATGAATTTATCAGACATCATAGGGCATCCCTGTATTCAAACCAAAAATGCATCCATTGCTTGTGAGTCTTGTTTATGAGCCATATTTAACTTAATAGGAATGCATGGGCCATAGACACCACACATCACCCAGGTGTCCCTTCTGGAAACCTGAAGTACATCTGCCACAAGGAGCTCCTGAGTCAGAGGAAGGAGCCATGGGGTTGCACTCAAAACAATGCCTCAGTCTCCTGAGCCACACGAGCTCACAGGAAACTAGTGCAGGACTCTCACCTGGTATCTTCCAGTGTTGCCTGGCCAGACTTCTCATCCACAAGTATTTTACAGTGATCTCCAGAGACCAGTTTATTGCTAGGGAAGGAGAGGTCACAACCTAAAACAGAGAGGGTAGCAGGACACTGGACTTGACTCTCGGGTTCGGCAAACACTACTGCCTTGCTTCACTAAAGCAGGTGACAGTGGCACACACCCCTGGAAACAGTACTCGTGTGCCAGAGCGTTAATCCAGAGGGACAGGGTCTGGCCCACCCCCATCAAACCTCAACAGCTTTTTCCTGGCAATTTTACAGCATGCCCACATGCACATCTAGTCCAATAAATATTATCAGAAGTTTTAAAAAAAACTCAGGGGCTTAATTAGCTCTTCAGTATTTCACCTACTCCTTAACTTCTTCTCTATGTAAACTTAGGTTTCATAAGTCATCACAAAACTGAACCAATGACAGTCACAGAATATATAAAACCAAATTATCATAGGCACATGTATAAGAAAATATAAAACAGAAGGGGAATGTGTCCACAACTGACTAAAGTCATTGTGTCTTCAATAAATATAAGAGGGGATATCTTCAAATACTTACTTGCTCTCGTTTTAAATCAAAAGGAAAACTATCAGAAGCTTTTAAATGTCTAATCACTAATTACCACTGCTTATAAGAGCAGTCTAAGATGATACATAATGATACTAAAGAATTAAGGGCAATTAAAAAAGGAATTGATACTGGGCATGATGGCACACACCTGTAATTCACAGCTCCAGAGGAGACCAACAACCCAAAGCAGTGGAAGATATGGACATGTCACAGCCCACTTAAGTCCCGTGAAAGCTGGTTTCAAGGAAGGTGCCCCCAACCCCAAAACACACAGAGCTGCCATATGGGCTTCCAAAGGAAAAAGTGGCCAAGAACTGAGATAGCTGTAGGAGGAGGTCATGGCAAGTTTGAGGATGTGGCAACACTGGTCTGGGAGCTGTGGATGACAGAAGTAATCAGAAGTTCACTATTGTTAAGAGGCCATTCTCTGGCTAGGATTTAGCTCAGTGGCAAAGAGTCTGCCTTGCATTCGCAAAGCCCTGGGTTCGTCCCCCAGTTCCAAAAAAGGATAGAAAAAAAAAAAAGATGCCAGTTATCTCCAGATGTGGTGGCACACGCCTCTAATCCCAGTGGCTGTCGCAGGAGGATTGCAAGTTCAAAGACAGCCTCAGCCAAAGTGAGGCCCTAAGCAACTCAGTGAGACCCTGCCTCTAAATAAAATACAAAATAAGGCTGGGGATATGGCTCAGTGGTCAAGTGCCTCTGAGTTCAATACCCAGTATCCACCCTCCCCCCACCAAAAAAGATGCCAGTTCTCTCCTGGATTAGTTCACATATTTGATGCAATTCCAACCAAAAGCCCAGAAGGCTTACAGAAACTGCAAACTGATTTTAAAGTTCATAGGAAAAAATTTATTAGCATATCCAAGGGAATTTTGAAAAAGAACAAAGTTGGAAGATTTAGATATCTTGACTAACTTAGCATGAAAGACAGTGTTATGTTGGTGTAAGGATGGCCAGTCCTAGAGAAATGCAAAACCTAAAACTACGAAGTTTGTGGTGGAAAACAAAGAAAAAAAATATTATTGATGCTTGCTCTGGTGAGAATTTCTTAGACAGGATGCAAAAAGTATAATCCAGAAAGAAAAATATTGATAAAATGAAGTTCATCCAAAATATATATCTAGCTAGATGTGGTGGTTCTTGTCTGTAATCCCAGATACTTTGGAGGTTGGGACAGGAGGATCACAAGTCTGAGGCCAGACTGGGCAATTTGGCAAGACCCTGTCTCAAAAGGGGAGGGCTGTGAGGCTGGGGATGTAACTCAATGAAGAACACTTGTGTATCATCTGCAAAGCCCTAGGTTGTATCCTCAGCACCATAACAAACAAACAAAATTAAACATCTGTTCTTCAAAAGACTCTGCCTATGAAGATGAATGGACAAGCCACAGACTAGTGAAAATATTTGTGAAACACTCATCTGATAAAGGTATTGTATCCAGAATTTACAGCTGACACTGGCAACTCAATAACAAGAAAGTCAACAATGCAATTTTAAAAGATTCAAACACTTTATCTCTTTGATAATCTCTTTTGAGATGTGGATGGCAAATAAGCAGATGAAAAACGTCCAACATCATTAGTCAGAGAAATGAAAGTGAAAGCCTTCCAACACCACCACAGAACTGGCTCAAAGTAAGACTGACTACATCCAAGGCTACCAAAGAGCAAGTGGAACAACCAGACCAGTCATGCACTGCTAGGGGGAATGAAAAACAGCAAACCATTCTGGAAAACACTTTGGGAGCTTCTGACGGTGATAAGCATACACTTAACACATGTCACAGAAATCCCACTCCTAAGTATTTAGCTAAGAAAAATAAACATGCATGTCCAAACAAAGACCTGTAAACTTATATGTATAATAGCTTTATTTCTGATAAAACAAGAAACAAACTAATGTCCATCCATTGGTAGTTAACTAACAAACAAAATGTGGTATGTACAAAAGCAGAATACTACTCACCACAAAAGGAACAATCACGGACACAAGCAAGAGCAAAGAACAACTATCAGAATACCCCTCCAAGGAGAGTCGCAGAGTGGGTACAAGTCTGTGGGGGATGCTGTGTTCCACCTGGATGGCACTCCAGAAAGCCAGAGCCACAGGGATAGAAAGTGGACACACTGGTGGCTTCCAGGAGCCGGGGTTGAGGGAAGGGGCTGTGGGACCAGGATGTGCTCTTTATGGTCACCAGGGGACTTTCTGGATGCTGGAGATATTCTACATCTTGACAGGTGGAGCTGGACTCATGGAACTGAACACCAAAACAGATGTTATCATATGTAAATCTCTCTATAAAAATAGATTTAAAAATCATATTTTTGCTGGGCACAGTGGTGCATGCCTCTCATCCCAGTGACTCGGGAGGCTGAGGCAGGAGAGTTGCAAGTTTGAGGCCAGCCTTGGCAACTTAATGAGACTCTGTCTCGTTAATAAAAAATAAAAAGGGCTGGGGATATAGCTCAGTCGTAAAGCACCCCTAGGTTCAATTTCCAGTACAAAAAAAAAACCCCAAAAAACAAACCTTACTTACATAAACTTTATATATTTTTGGAATTACTTTGTTACATTTATCCAAGGTGAATATCACCTGTGGTCAAGATATTCTCACTCCACCGAGCATATCCACCAGGACGATCCCCTCATAGCCAAGCCCCAGGTGCCAACTGCATCACCAGTATGGATTTCAAGACAGGCTTCCATATGCCAGCACTCGCACATTCTAGTTTGGAACCAAGATGATCTGCCCTGCTTGCCACTGTGGGTGAGGTTCTTAAATTCTTTCCTAGATGCAGCTCGGTGCTCCTCCCCAGTGCCTGGCACGTGGCAGGCAAGCATTCTTCTCAGATAAACATCCAGTCACACAACTCTGAGGACCCAAGGCTGTGTCCCCCACAACTCATGTAGAGGCCCCAAAGTGACTACCTGAAGGTAGGACCTGTGGGGAGTCGACAAAACCGAAATGGGTCACAAGGGTATGGCTCTGATCTGATGCAACTGGTGCTCTTTTTCTTTCTTTTTTTGTTGGGGAGGGTATGAGGGATTGAACCCAGGGATGTTTAACAATTGAGCCACATCCCCAGCTCTTTTTATTTTTTATTTTGAGACAGGATCTTGCCAAGATACTTTGGGACTTACGAAACTGCCAAAACTGGCTTTGAACTTGCCATTCTCCTGTCTCAGCCTCCTGAGTTGCTGGGATCATAGACATGTGCCAGGCAGTTAGTGTTCTTTTTTAGCTGTAGATGGACACAATATCTTTATTTTATTTATTTTATTTTTATGTGGTGCTGAGGATCGAACCCAGCACCTCACACATGCTAGGCAAGCACTCCACCACTGAGCCACAATCCCAGCCCTGGTCAGTGCTCTTTTAAGAAAAGGAAAAGAGACCAGCATGTGCCTTCTTTACCAGATGAAGACACAGCTAGAAGGCAGCCCCTGCAGGAACACCATCCTCACCAGGAACCAAAGTGGCCAGCATGGACTTTACCTTGGCTTCCCAGACTCCAAAACTGAGAAATAGCTTTTTAAGCCACTGTTTAAGCCACTCAGAATGTGGCTGTTTACGCCACTCAGAATGTGTATTTTATTATGGCAGTAAGAACAGACTAATACAGCACCTTTATGTTTTTGATAGCACCATTATTAATGCATTCACTGAAAGTACTTTTCTTAAAGCAGATTTTTCCTCCCTGCCTTAACATGAAGTTGAATGTCTTGACGTGTAATAGCATGCATAATGTGCTATAACAGTGACTGATGAAAGTGCTAACTATAAGCCAGGCTTGTTTCAGCAGTTCACATATGATCTTATTTAATCCTCACAGCAACTCTACGAAGGAGACACAAAGACTTGGAAAGGTATGTTGTTAGCCCAAAGTAAGCTGTGTTGGTGACAGGTTGGAAACCAGGAAGCCTGCTTCCAAGGCCTCTACTCTCACCAAATCTTAGTATAAAGGTGCAGGCACATTGTAAAAGGTGAAACTAACCCAAAATATTTGTTTCTGGATAGCAATCTTTCCCATTCCCTCTCCCTCTTTTTTTTTTTTTCTTTCAGTACTAGGGATAGAACTCAGGGGTGTTCTGCCACTGAACTGAGCTACATTCCCAGTCCTTTTTATTTTAACACAGAGTTTCACTAAATTGCCTAGGCTGGCCTTGAACTTGTGATTCTCCTGCTTCAATCTTCCAATTAGCTGGAATTATAGGCATACTCCAAGGCACCAGGCTCATTCTCCCTCTTTTAAAGCATGAAGTCAGCGGTGCATGGGGGCACATGCCTGTGATCCCAGTGACAGGAGGTTAGGGCAGGAGGATTTCAAGTTCAAGGCCAGCTTCAAAAACTTAATGAGACCCTAAGCAACTTAGTGAGAACTTGTCTGAAAATTTTTAAAAATTTTATAAGGGCTGGAGATGTGGCTCAGTGGATAAGTGCTCCTGGGTTTGATCCCCAGTACCAACCAACCAACCAACCAACCAAACAAACAACAAAAACAAAAACCTATGAAGTCAGAGTGATGATATATTAATTTTCAGACAAACTAAACATGTTATGGACCTGACTACTTACTTCTCTCCAACCAGGAAAGCTACAAGGGAAGTCAAATTACCAGGCGCAGCTGAGGAGTCTAAAAACAAGTAGTGCAGAAGTTGAAGGTACTTTCTCTCTCTAGATGTGTGTAATTTTGTTCAAGTCTTTAGCTTCCTATACTCATTAAGCAAATAATTATTTTAGGAGCTAGGAATAAGATATTATTAAATGCAGACACTACAACCATAAACTGACCTTCCTCACTGCTTACCTACATTCCATAAATATCAGTATATTCTTTGTCTTCATTTGTTTCAAGGTATTCTCTAATGTCCCTTGTGGCTTCTTTGACCCCCCATCATTTAAGATTTGTGTTTAAATCCCACATAACTGTGAATTTGCTAATTTCATTCCACCATTTTTAGAGAAGAAACTTTGTATAGTAACGGACGTGAGAAATTGTTTTCTGAAGGATATATTAATGATACTAGTCTATAAAGCCATGAATAAGGAATAAATGAACTACACGAAGCATTCGGAATTGCACCTGGGGCAGACAAATATATTAATAAATGGCAGGTCTTACATGAGCCCATTTCATGAAAGTGGAAAGCACACTGCACCCCCAGCAGCCTGGTGGGCTCCCCCGCCACCCACTCCCAGTCCTCGTCTCTCTTGCTGGTCCCGCCTTCGGTCCTGTCCCTCCCCACCCGCGTCCTGCCCTCGGTGCCAATCCCGGTCGGTCTCTGTCCCCCCTCGGCTCCGCTCCATCGCCCCGGGCGCGCACCTCGCCTCCGCCCGATGGTCCACTCGCGTTTCCACAGCAGGACGTGCGGCTCGCTCTCCTCTGCGCCCAGGCGGAGGAGCCTCCCCCAGGGCTGCTGCGGCGGCTGCTCGCCTCCCCCGGGCGGCTCCATCGGACTCACGCCTACTGAGACCCGGAAACGCCTGCTGAAGGAGGCCCCGCCGGCCCGCGGGCGCGCGAGACTCGGCGCCCCCTACGCCGCCCGCCGCCCCCGGGCCTCCGGCCCACAGCCTCCACTCACCCCGCGCCCCGCGCCGGCCCCGGAACCGGCCGCCCCGCCGCTGTCAACAGACATCGCGGCCCTCAGCTGATCCGCGGGCGGGGCCGCCCGGCGCGCCCTGTGATTGGTTGGCGGCGACACGCACCGAGAGCGGCGGCTAGAGCGGCCCGGGGAGCGGCCACCAAGAGTCGGCCTGCGACCAGCGGAGTGTGCGCAGACGAGAGGCTGCGGACCAGACCGCCATCTTTGGTGCTGGCGGGGACAACTTCATCTTCGGGGATCACGGAAGTAGCTGCGGTGGGCGCCATGTTATGTTGGGGCAAAGGGCATGCAGTGACTTCTGGATTGGGCGTGCGACGGTTCTTAAAGCCTTACTCGAAATCCACACGCCTTTCGGCGATAGAAGCGACGGTGCGCTTTACCTGTAGTGAGATAAATGTAAATAGGATGACTTTCATACCCCGTTGTCACTTAGGGGTTACCGAGCCGGGACAGGCTGGCGGCTGGGGCTAGCTCTCGCCCTTGAATGACAGGGTTGGTGGGAGCCCAGCTCCGAGGCGGGTCTGCGGCGTCCTTCCACGTGCAGTGCTTTTTCCTTGACGTGGCTGACCCACTTAGTGGAACCTAGCGGCACTCCCCGGTGTGGTTCAGAGAACAACGTTCTCTGCCCTCTTGAAACATGACCGAGAACCAAATGACGGTGGGCACGGCCGTGCACATGCTTTCTGGGCGGAACCAAGCAGCGGTCTACACTGGTGAAGACCTCCAATTTAGTATTAAAGTGTGAGGTAGGCACCAGTTTTTGTACAAAAAAAAAAAATACATATACATATATAAACATTCGTAAATATAGGTGGGTAAATGCATCTCCACCTATATTTGCAAAAATAAGGACATCTCTGAGACATGGTAGTAAGTCAGGCCAAGGACTGAGGAGGCTGAGGCAGGAGGATCACAAGTTCAAGGCCAGCCTGGCACCTTAGCAGAGACCCTGTCTCAAAATAAATAAAAGGGCTGGCATGCAATTCAGTAGTAGAGCTGTTGTCTAGATGTGCAAGACCCCAGGGCAGACCCCAAATACTCCCCTGCCCACACATAACACCCTCCCTTCTCCTACTAAAATTTTCTAAAAGTTTGCAGAAGGGAATAGCAGTGACTGCCTCTGGGACATCATGGACTTGTGGTGGAGGGAGTGATGAGACATCTGTCACCACACACAGCCCTGCCTCTCTTCAAGACGCAGTGTGGTCTGAGAAATGCCTCACTGGGCAGTGTTGTGTGCCCATCAGGGTATATGTGCAAAGCCTGGGTGCAGGAGTGTGCTGGGCATGGGGTGTACACTATTAGACCTTTGTTCATAAGCCACAAACCTGTACAGCATGTTACTATACGGAATACTGTGAGCAGCCGTAACAATGGTATCTCTATATCTGAACAGAAAAGGAACAGTAAGAGTAATAGGAGTTTTTAGCCCCATTATCATCTTAGGGGACCATCATTGTATATGGGGTCTGACGTTAACCAATGTATTACTGTATCACTCTGGATTCCACCAGAGAAGTAGATGAGTAAGATGACATCCCCAGCACAGCAAGACCCGTGAATTCCATCACCATGGGCCCTTGGTGATCCTGTTTTCCTGTGAAGCTGGTTCCTTGCTCAGAATTGGTGTGGTGTGGAATACCATGAGGGACGTGGCATCCATGAATCTCTGGATGGTGGTTTTGGCAGAGACGAAGCATTCAGGAAGACAAATGCAAATGCAGAGCTTCTGTTCCAGTATGAACAGCATGCTGCCCTTCCATGACGGAGGTGGTCCACTGTAATGCCCTAAGAAAGGATGCCATAGGGAGGCTTGGCATCCATCTCCACTGCTGCCATATGGGCACTCAGCAGTGGGCGTGGCCAGGTCCGCCTTGGTGAGAGGAAGTCAATGTTGTTGAGCCCATGAGTAACCTCCATCCCCATCACTGTGGCCATTTTGTTCATGAGCTCTCGAGTAGTGACATGGGAGGCTGGGAAGAGAGGCTGACATCCACAGACCAGGTTGCCCTGTGCACTTGACTGTTGAAGCCCCGCTAAGCTGAGGCCCTCCTTTAGAGCACATTCATGGGGACATCACCATTTTTTCCATTCAATGACTTGGTGCTCCATTGCTAAGTATTCATGTAGCAAGCACTTACACTGTTAAGTTTTGCTTGCCCCTCCTCCTCCATTTTGCATCTGTCTCCTTTGTTCTGAGTGACCCTGCACTCCAGGGACAATTGGTCTGATCAATAAACATCTTGAGATGAACCAAAACTAAGCCAGGTAACAGCAACCTTCTTATCTCTGACAAGACCCCCCCAGCCAGTCCTGAGATAATGATGGACAGACCACACCTCATCAAGGTCCCCTGCTTCAGCAGCTGAGCAGAGCCTCCATTCCCATGTCTATTAGGCCTCAAAGCCACTGCCAACCCCTGGAAGACAGGGCTGAGGACACAGTCCCATCTTCCCAGGGTAGTGGCACTAATCACTGCTCATCACCATTACTTTTTCCACCTGCTGTTTGGGGCTAGTGGAGACCTGATAGAGCCCCAGAGTCAGGCCTTTGGCTTAGGACTCTGGTAACATTCAGTCCCTGTGATGGTTAACTTTGAGTGTCAACTTGACTGGGTTGAAGGATGCTTAGAGAATTGGAAAATCTTTACTTCTGAACATGTCTGTGAGGTTGTTTCCAAAGAAGACTGGCATATCAGTGAGCAAACACAAGAGCAGACCCATCCTCAGTGTGGGCAGGCACCATTCACCATCCAATCTGGGGTGGGGGTGGGGGTGGGGGTGGTTCGGGACAGGCTCACACGGAACCGGAACGCCAAAGAGGAAGACCAGTTCTTCCTGAGCTTCAGGTTTCCTGCTCCCTTGGATACATGACTCCAGGACTCTGGGGCTTGTACCAGCAGCCCTCCAGTGATTTGTGGGCCTTTTGACTACAGACTGGGGCTGCACTTTTGGCCTTCCTGCTTCTGAGGCTTCTCTGCTCTCCGGGTTGCAAGCAGCTGTAGTGTAACTTTTCAAACTGTGAGCCAACTGTATATACACACATGAATATTCATACACATATATCCTATTGGTTCTGTTTCTTTGAAAACCCCCAACTAAAACTAAAACAACTCTTTATTTATTTATTTATTTTAGTTGTAGATGGACAACATGCCTTTATTTTATTTATTTTTATGTGGTGCTAAAGATGGAAGCCAGTGCCTCACTCATGCTAGGCAAGTGCTCTACCACAGCCCCAGCCTCCTAAAGCAACTCTTAATAGGCCCCAGTAGCAAGCCAAAAGCTGGTTCTCAAAAGGAGACTACTTACCTACATAAACATGGGCCTTGCCCCAAAGTCCTAAGGGCCTGCATTATAGTTCACCTATGGGGCCTGCCAGAGGGTCCAGGCAGCCCCCTCTGCCACTGATGCCTCAGGCATCACTGGATCTGCTAGGTCATGGGGCTCGAGAGGCAGCACAGCTCCTGCACGCCTAGATCTCAATGGCCTGCTGGTGTACCTGGTCAACAGCTCACCTGCAGCTCAGGGGCAGAGTGCACATGGCATGCACAAAGGGCTGGTCTCCATCCACAGCTCCACAGTGAATCATGGATGGGCTGAAACAGCACTCCCAAATAAGAAACATTATCTCCAGAGTGTTTACTCAAGTCTGGAAAGTGTCAACAGCAAACAACAAATCATCATATTCAAACTCTGGCTCTTTAGTCTGTTAAGGTGATTTACATTGATTAAAAAAATTTTTTTGAAGCAGAGGCTGGGCATGGTGGCACACACTTGAATCCTAACTACTCAAGAGGCTGAGGCAGGAGGATTGCTACTTCAAGGCCAGCCTCAGCAACTTTTGAGTCAATTAGATAAAATAAAAAGGGCTGGGATGTAGCTTACCAATGGGGCATCCCTGGGCTCTATTCTCAGTGCTGAAAACAAACACAGCCGGGCATGGTGACAGATACCTATGATCCCACCATGGAGATCAGTATGGAGGTTCCCCAGAAGAGTAGGCAGGGACCACCACATGACCTAGCTATGCACTCCTCAGTATCAATCCTTGAGAATCAAAGTCATCTTGCCACAGTGATGCCTGCATCCCCATGTTGATAGCAGCATGATTTGCAATAGCCAAACTATGGAACCATCCTGGTGTCCCTCAGTGGATGAATAATGTATGTATGTGTATGTGTGTGTGTGTGTGTGTGTATATATATGTGTGTGTGTGTGTGTGTGTATGTATGTATATATATATGTGTATATATGTGTGTGTGTATACACACACACACACACACACAAAGAAGTTTTATTCAGCTATAAAGAAGAATGAAATAGTTATTTGCAGGAAAGTGGATGGAACTAGAGACCATTATGTAAGCAAAATAAGCCAAACTCAGAAGTGTGTTTTCTCTCCTGTGTGGCATTAGAGAGGCAAAGGGGAAAGAAAGGCATGGGGGTCTCATGGGAATCAAAGGGGGTTCAACAGAGGCAGCGACAGGGTGAGGAGTGGGGGAAGGAGGGTGGGGTGTCACATCATGCGGCTACCTCGGGTGCAGGTGCCAGTCATGACAGTGGCTCCTGTCACTGCTGCCACAGAGCACCAATGAGATGTGGGAAGAAAAAAGAGTCATCAGTGACACCGTCTGGGCCCGGAGTTTTCCTTGTTGGGAGATTAACTGTAAATTCAATTTCGTCAGTAAATATAGAACTGTTTAGTGACCACTATTATCATATTTTCTCTAAAATTTGCTAGAATTTATAGTACTAACTGTTCTGCCACACCTGTAATGCTGTCTTTATCCTGTTCATTGTAGAAACTGACCATTTTATGAACCTTTTAAATTAACCTTTTATCTCTGATTTTCTCTCATTTATTTTTCAGTACTGGGGATTGAATCAGAGACACTCTAAACTGAGTTACACCCCCAGCTCTTTCAGTTTTATTTTGAGACAGCGTCTTGCTCCTGCTTTAGTCTCTGCAGTATCTGGGATTACAGGCATGTGCCACTGTGCCTATCCTGTTGATCTGTGTCCTGTGCCTGTAAGTTGATCTGGCAGTGTGATGTTGGGTGGGAACTTGTAGAGGAAAGCAGACTTCAGGTGTAATTTAGTTGAATTTTATCTTTTGAACTAGTCATGAGAGGTTATATTGACTACTGGGTTGATGATGCATGCCTGTAATCTCAGTGACTTGGAAGCTAAGGCAGAAGGGTTAGAAGTTCAAGGCCAGCCTCAACAAATCAGAAAGACCCTATTTCAGAATAAAAAATAAAGATAGCTGGGGATATAGCTCAGTGGCAGAGTGGCCCTGGGTTCAAATATAAATAAATAAATAAAAAGAAAGAAAAATAAATAAATAGAAAAGAAAAAAGAAATTATACTGTCCGCTATGTCACAGACAAGACATCAATAGATAAAACTGGCTAAGATGATGGGAGTGGGAATCTCCTTCACTTTGTAAATGAACGCAGCTGTGAAACAATCCTGACAGAGATCATCCTATGCAAATTATAACAAGGACTACAAAACAATTACAGATAACTCAATGCTGTGTTCTACTTATACCAAATATCAAGGCATTTATTTAACCCCTTAGAGACAGAACAGAGTGATACAAAAGTTCATGAACACAGATTGCCCTGTGCTTACTGGCACTGTCCAAAGAGGAGGCCTGCATCAACGTCTGTTTCAGAAGAGATGACATGCGGGTCTAGGGTAAGGGAGCTTCGTCGCCACCCAAGGGCTGGTGAGGCAGCTGAGTTGCGGGAACGGAAGCCACACAGGGAGTTACTCACTGGCAGTATAGTTAGCCCAGTCAGCTCCATGGGACCGTTAGCTAAGCAACTCCTTACTCTCAGAGAGGACAGGCTTCTTTCTGGCAGTGTGTGAGAGGGGACAATGGTAACTGAGGACTGGCAGAGACCACATGAGCTGCACATAAGGAACAGCAGAAAGTGGACAGGGCCTTCCAACCACACAGGGTGACTTCTAGAGCCTGTGCAACAGTTGATCTTGCTCCTGGTCCAGGATGATACAGCCAGTAATAGGGCTTCTTGGAGGTGTGTGGCTGACCCAGAGGTAGCTTAAGACTTTGCAAACATTTTGTTTTCTGGTACTGAAGAGGGATTCAGTAATAACTGCAAGCCTGTTTATGTTTGTAACAGACAATAATAGACTCCAGGGCCATAAACATGAAACACACACACACCCTTTCATATTTGTTATAATTTCTACTGCATTGTTAAAATACAAAGACAAAATATTAATGTCTGGAATATGAAATCTTGACAGATATCAGTCTGTGTCCTTGAGGCACAGGTACCAGGGCTAATGCTCTCACAGTCTTAGTGCTCATTATTTAACACAATGCAGAAAACAAACCACCTTAAGGCTGGGTGTGGTGGTACAGGCCCATTATCCTTCTACCTGGGAGGCTGAGGCAGGAGGATCACAAGGCCACCCCGGGCAGTTTAGCAAGACCTGTTTCACAATTAAAAAGAAAAAAAAAAATAAGAAAGGCTGGCAATATAGCTCGGTGGTGGAGCTCCCCAAGTAGTGTGCTCGGGTATGCCCCACACACTCAATAGCAACTCAAGGATATTAATAAAGGGGCGATCTACAGACATCTCCAAAATGAAACCAAACCAGTGGTGGCACCCAGATCTGTATTCACCCTAGGTCTGAGGGAAAGGAGAAGGAGAGCTTAGGAAATCTTTAGCCAAAGAGGTGCCACAGCCAGAAAGGCTGTGAACTGGAAAGCCAAGCCAGTGTCCAGCAGGGAGCGAGGAGGGCACAGAGGGTCCCTGCCCTACCATCCCGATCTGCTCCTGGTACCTTACACTGTTCAAACCTGAGAAGAAAAACCAGTGGAGTCATCCCTAAGACAAACTCTGGGGTGCAAAGGAGAAGGAGCAATGGGCCTGGAGAGACAGAAAGCAATCAGCATATGAACACCTAGGACTTAGAGGACTCCCGAGTGTGGCTGCTGAAGGGGACTTACCCTGAGCCCCGGGAACAGCTTCCCACTAGGCTGATGGGGTCCATTCAACTACCCTTTCCCCAAAGCACTGGGGACCAAGCCCAGGGCTGCTCTCACACTGAGCCAGCCCTTTTTCTTCTCGGAGCTTCTGCTCCTTCTGCCTCAACTTCCTGCACAGCCAGGATCACAGGCATGGCTACTGTGCTCAGCCATGTCCAACTGCACTTAAGGGTCACCCACATGCTATGTTGCCAGACGCTTCCCTTCTCATCATCTCAAACACTCAGAGTCTCTGTCATGATACAGGCTGTGAGGGCCAACTCTCCCCTCAAAGCACTCTGAAGTGCTCTCATCCACCCCTCATCGCCATTCCCAGAACTCTGGGCTCCCTAGACAGATCCACACTTCCATTCTGTACTGTTCTCTGCTGCCCAGGGCTTCCTTCAGCATCTCCTATGGGCAGGTCAACCTGTTCAACAAACAATCTTCTGACTCTGAGAAGGCTTCATTTTGCCTCCATCATTTATAGATTTTTTTTAAGAGAGAGAGAGATTGATTTTTTTAGTTTTCGGCGGACACAACATCTTTATTTGTATGTGGTGCTGAGGATCGAACCCAGCACCGCGTGCATGCCAGGCAAGTGCGCTACCGCTTGAACCACATTCCCAGCCCTTATAGATGTTTTTGATGGAACCAGAAAACTCTAGGTTGTGGGGGTTGCTGTGGTGCTTTCTTTCAGTAATTTAAGGCAGCTTCCTTATCTTCTTACACAGCCCTGTCCAGATGCCCTGCTGTGATTTGTTCCTGTGTATGATTTCCCTTCTAGGTGCTTTAAAATTGTTGTCTTTTTGCAGTGCCAGGGAGGGAACCCAGCACCTCACATGTTAGGCCAGCTCTTTTCCACTGAGCTACAACCCAGCCTTTCACTAAATTTTACTTGGAAACAGAGTAGCTTGATATAGGGCTAGTCAGTCCTCTGCTAAAACAGGGCTTCTGAGAGCCCGCCTGCTGCCACACGGTGACCAGCCATTCGTCTCTGGCCAGTTCCCACTTGAATTGCCCCTGCCTTGCACAGCTCCAGCTGTTCCCAGGTTTCCTACACATGTGTAAATCCTTACTCAGCCAAAGGAGTTGGGGATCCCTCAGACAGCCCCTCTCTGTTTAGCACACCTCCACATCTTCCCTGCAAACTCCAGCTATTGTGGCCCTGTGGGAATCCTTCCCTTCTCACCAGCAAGGCTATTCTTGGCCCCTTCCCTGTGTGGCCACCTGGAAACTGCCACTGTAGTAGGCTGGGTGACCATGAGTCAGCTCCATCTGTCTGGGACCACAGACCACATGTGTCATGTCAAGAATCATCACTGGCCAAGATGTGGAATCAACTCAGGTGTCTGTTGCTGGATGAATAAAGAAAATGTGGTATATGTGCCAACAGGATATCATTCAGACATAAAATAATGGAAATGCTGTTTTTGTTTGCAACAATGAGGTTGGAACTGGAGGTCACCAAGTAAGTGAAATGTGTCAGGCATTGAGCAATAAATACCACCTGCAGAAGCCAAGTCTGACCTCAAGGGAGCAGAGACCAGCCAAAATAGGTTCCCAGAGGCTGGGAAACAGTGGAGGTGGGGAAGCCAAGAGAGGGTAGCCAATGGGCCCAAGTATGTAGCTGGACAGGAGGACTGACTTCTGACATTCTGAAACACAGTAGGTTGACTATGGTTGGGAAGAGTTAGCCCTGGTTTGCAGAATTGTGATGGAAACCATGGACACTCTACCACTGAGCCACAGCCCAGCCTTTTTCATTTTTTAACTGTGGGACCCAGGCTGGCCTAAACTTGTGATCTTCTTGCCTCAGCCTCCCAAGATCCTGGTAACAGGTGTGCACCACTGCACCCAGCAACAATTAGCAATACAAATATTTCAAAATAACTAATGAATAGGATCCTGAATATTCTCAACACAAGAAATGTAAAGCTGAGCTAACAGATAGATGCCAATTACAGATATGCCTGACCTGACCATTACACACTGTATCCACACTGTAAAGCCATACTAAAACCCACAAATACATACAGTTACTATGTATCAATTAAAAACATAAATTAAAAAAAGAAAAAGCCTTTTTACATATAGCTGTTGAAGGCAGGAGCATGCTCTGATCCTGGTTACTCCACCACACACAAGAGTGAAGTCTTCACCCTTTAGCAGACATGTCTGTCTGAGACTGACAGCTGTTTGTAATGATTCCTACACAACAGACACAGTTTCCTGGCAGAATTACTTCAAAGACCCTTGGACACCAGAACTCCTCATGTAGACTCTCAAGACACAACGTCCAGCACCTCCTTTCTGATGACACCTCTGAATCCTGAGGAGTTTGCTCCCCCAGCTTTCCCTGTTGAAGTCTCTAAACATGAATCCCTGTGACCTCTGACAGAGGGTGCTGCCAACCTCACTTCCACCTTGGCTTGTCCTCACAGGGGTGCCCCAGGGAATCTTCTGGGAGAAGGCTTTTGCACAACATCTGCTTTTCAAACACTAGAAAGCTCTCGTGACTCAACTCCCTGCTAGCATGTTTCTAGCAGCTGCTATCTCAACAGGAGTCTCTCCTACCTGTCCTCAGTGGGGATATCTGACAGCAGGCAGGGGTCGGCCCTTGCTGCACTCACGTGGCGTTGGTTCTGTGTGGTCTTTCTGGTGCAATGTGAGCTGCGACCTGCTGCTGAAGCTGCCACCACACTCAGTGCATGCACAGCCTCTGCCTGCTGTGTGGCTCCTCTGGTGCCTCATGAGATGGGACTTTCTGGTGAACGATTTCCCACATTCGGCACACTTGTAGGGTCTCTCTCCTGTGTGAATTCGCTGATGGATGATGAGCTGTGCTTTCTCAAAGAAAGCTTTTGCACAATCACTGCACCCATGGGTTTTCTCTCCCGTGTGGTTTCTCTGATGTTTAATGAGCTGCACCTTCTGAACAAAGGCTTTCCCACATTCGCTGCATTCATAGGGCTTCTCCCCTGTGTGGATCCTCTGGTGCCTGAGCAGTTGTGGCTTCCAGGCAAACGCTTTCCTGCACTCACTGCATTCAAAGGGCCTCTCTCCAGTGTGGGTTCTCTGATGGTGAGTGAGACTGGACTTCTCGCTGAAGGCCTTCCCACACTCACTGCATTTGTAGGGCTTCTCGCCAGTGTGTGTTCTCTGATGCGATATCAGGCTTGACTTCTGGGTGAAGGCCTTCCCACACTCACTGCAGCCATATGGTTTCTCACCAGTGTGAGTTCTCTGGTGGGTTAGGAGCTGCGACTTTCCAAAGAAGGTCTTCCCACATTCCACGCAGCCATAGGGCTTCTCTCCAGAGTGAACTTTCTGATGCCGCATCAGCTCTGACTTCTTGAAGAAGGCCTCTTCACAATCGCGGCATCGATGGCTCTTCTCCCCCGTGTGGATTATCTGATGCTTGATAAGCTGCGGCTTTCGGATGAAAGCTTCACCACATTCCCTGCATGCATAGGGCTTCTCTCCTGTGTGAATTCTCTGATGCCTAATGAGGAGTGAGTTCCTGCTGAAGGCTTTTTTACACTCACTACACACATATGGTTTCTTGCCAGTGTGAGACCTCTGATGAGTAATGAGCTGAGACCTCCAAAAGAAAGCTTTCCCACAATCACTGCATTTATAGGGTTTCTCTCCTGTGTGTACCCTCTGATGTGTGATGAGCTTCACTTTCTGGGAGAAAGCCTTCCCACAGTCACTGCAGCTATAGGGCTTCTCTACTGCATGAGCCATCTGATGCCTTTTGAGCTGGGACTTCCTGCTGAAGGCTTTCCCACACTCACTGCACCCGTAGGGCTTCTCTCCAGTGTGAGTTCTCTGATGTAGCATGAGCAGGGACTTCCTGCTGAAAGCCTTCTGACACTCGCCACACCCATAGGGCCTTTCCCCTGAATGTGTCCGCTGGTGCACAGTGAGCAAGGACTTCTGTGAGAAGGCCTTCCCACACTCGCTGCAAAGATAGGGCTTCTCTCCTGTGTGAGTTCTCTGGTGAATGGTCAGCTGTGACTTCCTGTGGAAAACTCTGCCACACTCCAAGCACAAGCAGACTCCCGTGTGTGTCCCACAAGCCTCGTTGCTGCTGGTTCTTCTGTGTTTCTTGTCATCACAGTATTGTACCTCTCCACAGCCTCTGTCGGGTTTCACACAAAACAGTAACTCCTTGCTGAGCTCATCAAATTTCTTTTTGCCACAGTTATTTTTTGGAATAAGAAAATCAAAAGGATGTTTCAAACTTTTTTCACCTCTGCCACATTTATGGAGTCTCATTCCTAAGTGAACAAAGTTCATGCTTGAATTAAATATTTTCCCCAAAACATCACATCCATGGCCTTTCTCCATACTTTTAAGCTTGTCTTGATTATCTTGATGCCATATTTTAGAATCACTGTCTAGCCAGATTTCTAAAAAGAGGGAAAAAAGAACCACACTGTGTAACTTCCTCAGTGACTATGCTCATGAACACAGTGAGACCCACAAATACTCTCTATGTACTGGGCACTGACATATTTAATGGAAATGGGAACCGGTGTTAGAATTACAAAGGTCAAAATTATGCAGTAATCTGCAATTTTCTACTTTATGTCTGCAGCTTTGTTAGCTGCAGATTATGGAAAAAGACAAGAACAAAACCATCAGAGAGACTCATGATATGCTGAAAATGGGAACAGCAAAAGAGCGAGTCAGCACAAGAGAAGACGAACTTGGCCTGAGAAGAGCACAAGTGGGACGTCCTTCACTACGGACAGCACTGATGTCTGTGCCACTGCTGCACTGAAAACCTCTCTGTGCCAGACAGCCACCTGGCCGTCACCTCCAGGACCCCTCCACCACTGGCACCACTTTCTGGTGATAATTTCAAGAATTCTCCAGAGCTCACGTGAACACTTTTATCTGATGCATGTTGACATTCAGACCCTTTTAACTGGATCTATAACTGAATCATAATCTACATATAAAATCTACATCATGTTATAAATTGAAATTATTCCAAACCATAAGAACTTTCTTGTATAACCTTAGTACAGCTTTTTCCATCCTACAGGTATATGTACTTGTGAGTTCCACCACATGGCTGCTTAATGAATATTGGAGTGATCTTTTAAAGGTCTGCTGACTGTTGATGACATTGTTTATAGCAACTGGGAGGCAAGATTCCCAGGAGGTACTCTGCAAGATGAAATATTTGGTGAGATTCTAAATGTAAAGCAAGTACTCTTTTTTCTTAAGAATACTTTTTGTGAGGCATCTCCTCTAATTCTCAGACATCAGAATTTCAGGGGAAGAGCCACTTAGAGCTGCTGATGTGGAGGAGAATGAGAATGCTCAATGTTTCGTGCATGAGTGATGTTCACACAGTCCACTGAGAGGAGAGAAAACAGAAAGAACTCTGGAGACCAGAATCAAGAGTCACAAGCAGACACATGGAGGGGGAGAGTTTAAGAGCAAGTTGCTCTTCAAAATATAAGAAGAAATAATAATTTCAAATTAAGATCAAGAAGCAGTGTTAAGAAGTATATTTATTCAAATTAATAAGCAACCTGATATCAAGCAATAATAGAGTAGTTCACCTATGGATTTAAAGGCTTAGATATTCAATTGTATCAAAAAATCTTAAAGGAAATAAAAACATGTCATTTGGGAAGACAGGTGGACTACTGCTAGTGTTATACCACAGAACATATATGTTTCTCCATTCTGTTTCTGCCATGTGACCCCCATTACATCCTGTTTCCAAAATGACCTACTTCCTAACTGGGAGTCCATCTTCCAATTCTAGCCTCTACTTAGCATCCAGTCACCTTTAAAAATGTAATCAGAAGCCAGGCGCAGTGGCATACCCTGTAATCCCAGTGGCTCAGGTGGCTGAGGCAGGAGGATCATGAATTCAAAACCAACCTCAGCAATGTCAAGGCGCTAAGCAACTCAGTGAGATCCTGTCTCTAAATAAAATACAAAATAGGGCTGGGAATGTGGCTCAGTGGTTGAGTGCCCCTGAGTTCAACCCCCAGAACACCCCCCACCAAAAACAATGTAACCAGGCCTTTTCATCCTCCTGCTTGAAAATTTTTTGATGCATGTCCTGTATGACTGGTTTGCTCTAACCTCTTCAATTTTATTTCACAATATTCTCATTTTTTTTTTTTTTTTTTTATCACAAAGACATTTTCTGCCATGGGTCCTCTGCATGTTCCATTCCTTATATTTGGCATGCTCTTCGCAGTTTTCCAGCAGGCCTGGCTCATTCAAATGTACACATCACTTTGACAGCACACTAACAAACATCCTGTTTATTTTATGCGTAGTACTTATCAAGTTGACAATCCTCTACTTCTGTTTCTCCCTGTAGAATGTCAACTCCACGAGGATTGGGGTAAGTGGTAGTTCCCACTGGTACTTTCCTAGCTCACAGTGCAGTACATAGCTACCTCGATGTGTGGGGAGGAACACACTTGCTGAGTGCTAAAGCAGCTCCTTCCTGTAACACTGAATCTGATCATGAACTCTATACTCAATTATTGAATGCCATACAGTTCTGTATTTTCTTTTATGTTAAATTCTATGCTCCTGCATGGTTGTTTCATGACTCTTATTTCCTTCTGAGTCCTCTCATTCCATATAATAGTGGTGGTTCTAAATTTTTTTAAAAAAATATTTATTTTTTAGTTTTCTTTTAGGTAGACACAATATCTTTATTTTATTTTTACGTGGTGCTGAGACTTGAACCCAGTGCCTCATGCATGCTAGGTGAGCACTCTACTACTTGAGCCACATCCCTAGCCCTATTGGTTCTAAATTAATGGGGGAATGTGAACTCTATCACTGCAGTTTTCCCAGACTCTACATACCCAGACCTGCTAGCCCCCACAGGAAGGGCCTAGACCCAGACATTCTGAAGTACTTCCCAGCATAGGTTAATACACAAGTTAAATGGAAACCCTTCTACTGAACAGATATTTGACCAATAAGAAATCTCCTGATGGGCACAGTGGCACACATCTGTAACCCCAGTGACTCGGGAGGCTAAGTCTGGATGATCACAAGTTCAAAGACAGACTCAGCAACTTGGTGAGGCCCTTAGCAATGCAGCAAGACCTTATCTCAAAATAAAAATAATAAAAAGGGGTGGGTATGTGGCTCAGTGGTCAAGCACCCTTGGGTTCAATCCCCATACTAGAAAAAAGAAAAAGAAAAATGCTAGTTGGGTGTGGTGGCGCACTCTGTGATCTCAGTGACTTGGAAGGCTGAGGCAGGAAGGTCGCAAGTTTAAGGTAAGCCTGGGCAACTTAGCAAAACCCTATCTCAAAAACATACAAGGGCTGGGAATGTACCTCAGTGGTAGAGAAACTGTGAGTTCAATCCCCAATACTAAAAACAAAAAAGAAAGATCCTCTTTACCTGCCTCCATAATAATAAACAAATAAAATATTAATAATTGTACCATAAATTTCACATAGAACAGAGATCAGTAAGTTCCTGGCCATCTCTCTAACCTTAAGCCTAACAGTTTAAGGAATCCCAGTCAAGTCTGAACAGGCCTCAGGTCCTATAATATAGGTGCTCAGCCGGCAAGGGCTTCAGACAAGCTGGAAGTCAAGGAGCATCCACTGGTGGGGGGGGAAGAGAAGCTCAACCAGAGGGGGGCAGTGTCTATGTGGGGAGAGCACACCCCCACCAAAGGCTCAGAGGCAGAGAGAAACATGGGGGGCACTGAGGAAGAGACTCGTCTAAATGCTCTGGGTACAGAAGAGGCACAGAAGAGGGGCTTAGTCAGGCTCTGCCACGTTCTGCTATTCTCCAGTGTAAATGGAGCTTAACAACACACAGCAGGGCAAAGGTACCAACACACAAACCCAGTGCCCCACGCATGCTAGGCAAGCATGGACACACAGCCTGCAAGGGGAGGACTGAGGCCCACTGAGAGGCCTCAAAGGCAGGGCTGCAGCGGAGGCAGGAAGCGTCTCCTGGCTGTGTCAGTGCTCAGCTCTGCTCCACACCACTTGCTCTGCCTTCCACTCTGTCTCTGCTGTAAGACACACAAGGAACCCTACCGAGGTGTGAGCATGCTGTCCCTGAGCATATGGAGCCTGATCATCTTTGTATATGATGATTGGCACCCTTGAAGCTAGTTCTCTGAAACCCCTGGGGATCTTATTTGCCTGTTGTCAACTGTGCTGTGCCTGCATAGGCACTTTGTTACTAAGTTACAAGATGAGACAGAGGCATTTATGGAGCAGAAGACTCTTGGTATGGAAAAGCACATAGACAGAGATCATCTGGGCAATGGTATCTGGTACCTGGGAGGGCAGTAATGTCATTTGTTAATTCAAAGTTTCCTTCATACTGTTAAATTAAATGAGAAGCCTTGTAAAAAATTCAATAATGACATACCTATTAAATTTCCAAAGGGAAAAAAGCCCAAATTTGTCAAATTAGAGGAAGGAAAGTAATAACTCAAAGAAGTTCTACATTAATATGAACTCAAAAGTGGTCAATGTTATTTAAAGTGGAAAAAAAGTGGGTAGAGTTATGGCTCAGAAGTAGAGTGCTCGCCTAGCATGCGTGGGACACTGGGTTCGATCCTCAGCACCACATAAAAACAAAATAAAGATATTATATCCACCTATAACTAAAAAATAAAATATAAAAAAGTGAAAAAAGTTATGGATTTTTTTTTTTTTTTGGTATCGAGGATTGACTGAGGAGGACTTAACCCCTGAGGCACATCACCAACCCTTTTTTCTATTTTATTAGAGACAGGGCCTCACTGAGTTTCTTAGGACCTTGCTAAATAGCTTAGGCCTTGCTAAATTGCAATTCAGCTCAGCCACCCAGGCTGCTGGGATTAAAGGCATGTGCCACTGCATCTGGCTAAAAATTATGCATTCTTAAGGAGGAGGACCAAAGCCTACCTCTGTAGGACGACTTGGAAGTGGGAATAAGGAAAGTAGGAATGTAAGGCAGGTAGGAAGAACTCTTTATGCAAGGAAGGGGTCCTCAATGAGTGGCCACTGTGTATGTGCTGCACAGGTGGAGGGCTTGATTCATCATAAACTGCACACAGGGGCTGGGGTTGTGACTCAGTGGTAGCGTGCTCGCCTTGCATGCATGAGGCACTGGGTTCAATCCTCAGCACCACATAAAAAAAATAAAGACAATAAAGTCCATCAACAACTAAAAAAAATTTAAAATAAATAAATAAACTGCACTCAGAGAGGCCAGCAGGCTAGGGCACGGAACAGCAAAGCAAAAATCATGAAGAACTCCTGTCACTACTCTGGAGTCTATAAAGATTTAGGAATTTCAAACAGTTTATAAGCAACATTTCAAAAGTACTCACCTATTGCCAAAACCCTGAGATTTAATTTAATTCACCATTTTCAATACATTTCATGATTTCTCACCTGAAACGTTCTGGTGTAGGGTTTCTTCATATACTGTCCATGACTCCTCTTGGTCTAGCTTGAAAACGGCATCAGGTTTAATGATTTGATAACCTGGAGATTGGAAGGAGGTGACATGGACCCAGATGCCTGAGCTGGAGTCCCTTGAGGAATGTCTTATTACAAATGCTCTGAAATAACAAGAGACTAAACACCTTTCAATTTGGTATTGGAATCAAGGAATCTCTGGCATCTGAAATGCATATGCAATCAGTGAACACCCCCAGAGGCCCGGTTGGACACAGCCAATCACAGAAGGGCACCTCACCCAGGAAGAGCAGGCTGCTGTAGTTCTCCAGCATCACATCTCTGTACAGGCTCCTCTGAGTGGGGTTAAGCAGCTGCCACTCCTCCCATGTGAAGTCCACAGCCACATCCTCAAATGATATCTGAAAAGCACAATCCCGGCAAGTCTGCAGTGGTCCCACAAGGCTGTGCAGAACACAGGCTCTCCTCTGTGTGTGACAGCAGCCTTGGGCACAGCACTTTGTGCATCTTCCCCTCCTGACTCACTTCCACGGAACAGAAGGGCACAGAGTGGATGCCACTTCCAGATTAGGTTATCAGAGACTGATTCCCTACTGGGAGCTTGCTCCTCCTCTTCCTGGGGGAGGGGTATGGCAGCCATGTTGAGAGACCCAGGTGGTGTGCCTGGAAGGGACCATCTCCTCCAGCACCTCCAGAGCCCTGACAGGTCCCAAGCCACAGTGGTGTGAGGTGAATGCCTCCTGGTTTCAGCCACTGAGGTTTGGGGTGATTTGTTGTCAGCAATGGGTAATTAATAAGACACCCTAACACTGCATTATGCTTTGAAGGAGAAAGAAAAATGCCACTCAACTACTCATCATGGTGAGTGCATTCATCCATCTACCCATCCAGGAATCAGAAACTAGAACAGGTTGTCTCTAAATAAGCACAGTGGTTCTCAAAGAAGTGTCATGGGTATCTCAACCGAGCGGGAAAGCCCCAGGGCATGAAGACGTGTGCCTGGTCTGCCCTGCAGAGTGACAATAGCACCTCGGCCTCTGTGAGGACCAAGCCACTACTCCTTCCAGAGGCAGCTTTGCCTCCAAGTCAGAACAACCAGCCAGCTCTTTCAGGTATCTTGTAAAACACAAATGTTGAACAGTTAGAAACTAACAGGCACTAAAATATGAAGATGAGTGGGAAAAAACTCATGTTTTCAACGCCCTTTAGACGCTCAGCAGAGACAGTGAGGTGAACAGGGCTATGAAGCAAGTGTGTGCAAGGGAGGAGACAAAATGGCCTGAGCACCGCATGTGAGGACACTACCAGGTTAGGCTCTTCAGGGACTGGCAGGCCCTTGAGAGGTCTTGAGAGGACAATGGGAAGGGACTTCCCAGAGGCAGCAGCAGGAGCGAAGCCATGAAAACAAGTGTGCTTCCCAGGCTGCCAGGAGTCCAGGAACACAGGGAGGATGGTGGGTGACCCAGTCTCTTTCAAAGTGAAAGCTGAGGCCAGAGCAGGCAGAGGCCCACATTGGTCTGGGGTGAACGTGAGCATGTGTGCCACAAGAGCTACAGAGGGTAAGAGTAAAGAAGCAAAGCATGGAGCAAGCTCAAGAACAGAGACCTGCTAGCTTACTTTCCATGGTAAAGCTGGAACAAGAAAAGGGTCACTTGGCTTTTGACTGATGAAAAATAATATCAAAAATTAATTTATTGGGCTGGGGCTGTAGCTCAGTGGCAGAGCACTTGCCTCCCATGTGTGAGGCACTGGGTTCGATCTTAGCACCACATAAAATTCAACCAATAAAATAAAGGCATTCTATTCATCTACAACTACAAAAAAATTTAAAAAGAAAGAAAGAAAATTAATCTTTTGCCTCAAATCTTAGTGCTACATGGAAGGGGGAAAAACTGTCTCCTGAGAAATCACAACAACAAGCTAGACTTATGTGGGTGCGTAATCTAAGTACACAGAACAGGTGTGCTTTGCAAAGACCTCAATCAGAAAGAAAGTGGCTTTAGATGGCAGTACATCAGGCCCCTGCAGAGTCAAATGTACATACTATCTAGAGAAAGGAATCCAGATGCTTCTTAAAACAAAACATGAGGAAAAATGAGTGCAGAGTGTACAAAGAAACAAAGCATCATGACTGAGATCCATCTTAAAAACCAAAGTCCAGACCCATTAGGATATATGAAATAAAGGCTGGGGTTGTGGCTCAGTGTTAGAGCACCTGCCCAGTACGTGTAAGGCACTAGGTTCAATCCTCAGCACCACATTAAAAAAAATTATTACATCCATCTGCAACTAAAAATTAAAATAAAATAAATATCCATAGTTCATTCAGAAAAACAAAAAAGGTCAATGAAAATATGAAACAGGACCAAAAGGGCTATGTGCATTGGCACATACTTGTGATCCCAGCAACTCAGGAGATTGAGGCAGGGGGATCACAAGTTTGAGGCCAGTCTCAGCAACTTAGCAAGATACTATCTAAAAATAAAAATAAAACAGGCTGTGGATGAAGCTCAGTGGTAGAGCACCCCTGGTTCAATCCCCAGAACCAAAAGGGGGGAAAAGAGAAAGAAAGAGAGAGAGAGAGAGAGAGAGAGAGAGAGAGAGAGAGAGAGAGAAAAGGCTGTACAACTGAGTACGCAGATCTGATGAAGAACTAAACAGAATCCTAGAAATAAAGTATGGGTGTGAAATGAAGAAATCAGCCTATAGTACACCAGATGCAAAGATGCGGGGGTCGGGGGGGTGGATAGATCAGAAGAAGCTCATAGTGAGACAAAGTCACAGAAATGGAATATATAAAGCAACCCAGACTATAGCTGACTACAGTGATACATGTTAATGACAAAAACAGTTTGAACACAAAAGTTTAAAAAAAGGTAGCAACATATAAACAATAAGCAGCTGGCATGGCTTTTTTAACAAAGGCAGTAGACCTCAAGAAAAACATTATTAGACACTGCAGAAAAAGGAGGATTATCAAGTATAAAGAACACTTCAAATGGTAAAGGGTTAATTCTCAAAGAAGACACGTTGACTCTGAATGTGTATGCACCTAAAAATGGACACAACGACAGAAGTCAGCACTCTTTTCTGAGGAATGGACATGATATGCAGTCAGAAAATCGGGAAGGATGCAGATGGCCTGAACAGCAGTTGGGTCAACTTGACCCAATGACTCTTAACTCTTTTTTTTTTTTTAATTTTTTTAGTTGTAGTTGGACACAATACCTTTGTTTTATTTATTTATACACGGTGCTGAGGATCAAACCCAGGGCCTCGCATGTGCTAGGCGAGCTACAACCCCAGTCTGACTCTTAACTCTTAACTGAGAACACTTAGCCCACAAGAGCTAAGCAAACACCCTACAATGTATGCACACAGTGCCATAAGGCAACCCATAACTATTTTAAAATAAATCAAACAAAGTGTGTTCTTGGACTATGACAAAATTAACTAAAAATCAATAACATGTATCTAGAACATTTCCAAAGCCATATGTATGTGAAAAAGCCACAGGTTGAATGGGAAATTATCGGGATATTATGAAAATAGTCTAAACTAAATGAAAATGAAAAGACGACTTGTCAAATTTTGTGGGATATAGTTAAAACAATGCTTACATGAAATTTTATTAGAAAAATACTCATATATTTGAAAAGAAAAAGACCTAAAATCAATATCCCAAATTATCATTTTTAAAAATTAGAAATGTTGGGCTTAGTAGTGCATACTTGTAACCCTAGCAACTCAGAAGGCTGAGGCAGGATGATCACAAGTTTGAGGTCAGCTTCAGTAACTTAGCATGGCCATGAGCAACTTAGTGAGACTCTGTCTCAAAATGAAAAAATACAAATTGCTAGGGGTGTTGCTCAGTGGTTGAGCACTCCTGAATTCAATCCCCAGTACCAAAGCAAAACAAATGAAAACTAGAAATGCTGGGTGTGGTGGTGCACACCTGTGACCCCAGCTACTAGAGAGGCTGAGGCAGGAGGATCACAAGTTCTTTGCCAGCATCAGCAACTTAGTAAGATCATATAACCTAATGTAAAAAAAAAATCAAAATATTTAAAAGGATGGGGATGTAGCTCAATGGTAGAATATAGAACATTTGCACAGCATGCATGAAGTCCTGAGTTCAGTCGCTAGTACTGCAAAATATCAATCAATCAGGGACTGGAAGTATAGATCAGTGAAAGGATATGCTTAGCATGCATGAAGCCCAGGTTTTGATCCCCAGCACCACACACCTATACACACATACACAAGGAATGTAAACCAAGGGATATAATGGAAATTCCATAACCTAATAAATGATATCTATGGAAAACATACAACTAATAACATATTTTGATGGTGAGACAGAATGCTTCCCCTATAAGGATCAGAAGACAACAGGAAAGGCATCTTGCACTGTTCCTATTCAAACTCTGTATTGGAGCCTTAGCTAGTCCAGTATGGAAAAAGAAGCAGAAGGTAAAAACAAACAAAAAAACAAAATAAAACCCTATTCATAGATGACACGTTTGTCCATGTATAAAACGCCAAAAAAAAAAAAAAAAAAATCTGTCATGCGTATACGCACTACCTCCTAGAACGGACTAGTGAACTCTGCTGGAAAACAAGAGGCCATTTCACCTGAGCCAGTGGTTTCCTGCACGCCATCAGTGAACAATGGGAACAGAACAGGTCTTATAGGGCCATTTACATCAGCCCCCAAACACAGTCAGGTACCAATATACACAGAAGGCAACACAGTAACAGTATCTGTGTGTTACTAACTGGTGACAAGAGAAATCAAAGAACATGACATCATGGACAGACACACATTCCATGCTTGGAGATGGAGTGTGGCCGGGTCATCACTTCTCCCTGAAAATGCCACGGATTTCAAACAGTCAAAGTAGCAAGTGTTGGCTCAGCAGTAGAGCGCTTGCCTGGCACGTGGGAGGCCCTAGGTTCGATCCTCAGCACCACATTAAAAAAAAAAAAAAAAGAACAAGTAAATAAAATAAAGTATTTGTTTGTTTAAAGTAGCAAGTGGCTCTGCAGGCATTAGCAAGTTGATCCTAATATGCACTTGGAAAGACAAAGGTACTGGATGGCCACATCTGGACAAAGCACTGCACTATAGGACTCCACTTGGTTTTAAGACTCCCCATGGAGCCAGGGTAATTAGGACAGGTGGTAGTGGTGAAGGGATAGATGCACACAGCTCACTGGAACAGAACAGAACCCAGAGATAACCTCACAAACATGCTCTGCTCCAGAGTCCATTCAACAAATGATGCCACAGCAACTGTGTACCCATGAGCAAAAGGATGAACCTCCACATAGAACTTACGCTTTATGTAAGAACTTATTCAAAGTGCACTGCTGCAATCCCCGCAACCGAGAGGCTGGGGCAGGAGCACTGCAAGTTCAAAGCCAGTCTCAGCAACTTAGCAAGGCCCCTTTTCAAAATTATGAGAAGGAAGTGAGCAAAAGAAGGACTGGACATAGTTGGGTGGTAGAACACCTGCCTAACATGTGCAAGGCCATGGGTTCTGTCCTCATCACTACAAAACAGGATAAAACAATGAGCAAAAGATCTTAACAGACACTTCACCAAAAAAGACTGGATGGAAAATAAACACATGAAAAGATGTTTGATGTCATTTGTCAAGGGAAAAATGCAAACTAAAATCATAGTAAGATACTACTATGCATATAACGAAAGGCAAAATGACAAAAAACTGATGGATGCTGGTGAGGATGTGAGCAACAGCAATTTCCACTTGCTACAGTCAGAGTGTAAGATGCACAGCAACCTTGGAAACATGTGGAGACTTTGGCGGCAGCTTATAGAGCTGAACACACTTGCCAGAAAACCCAAAAATCCCACTTCTAGGTATTGACCCAGGTGAACAGAACACTCATGGTCAAACCTACATGCAGAAGAATGCATTATTCCTAACTGCTAGCAGGTGCCAGCAACCACAGTGCCCTTCAACAAGCAGATGCTTAAACAGCTGGTGCATCATATAGGCAGACACTGCCCAAGGACAGCACTTGGGGCTAAGGGGCACACCAGCCAGTTCTAGGTCCATGACTGAAGAAGCATTATTGAATGGCTACGTGCTGTTTCTATGTTTTATTTCTTTTGAGAGGGTTCTTGCTATGCTTCCCAGGCTGGTCTTGAACTTGTGGGCAGAAGTGATCCTCCCACCTCAACCTCCCAAGTAGCCAGGACTACAGGCATGCTCCCCCATGCCCAGCTGATTTACATACTTTCAATTCCAGTCACATGACATTCTGGAAAAGAAAAAACTATGCCATGAACCAGACTGTATACAACAGACAGACCAACTGATTCAAGACTGAGGAGTACACAAAGATGAGGGGTGCCTTCTGGTAAAGGGACAGCACAGGGGCCTCCTGTTCAGGGCTCCTCTGCAGTGGCATGATTTGGCCCCATACCTGTTGCATGGACCCGACCTAACTGGCGTGCCATCTCAGGGGAAGGGGCACTTGCTTGGGCTCCTGCCTGTACCATCTCAGAGGTGAGGGATGGTGCTGCCCTTGCTCTCTGGGAGGCTTGTGGCTTTCCCTGATGACTCTGATGCTTTGTAGCTCAGCTAGGCCAGCTCAGCTGAGCTCCCAGCATACAAGTGAATTTCAAAACTAAGAAAACATGAAACTTTTTGCATATTTATTTGAACAACAAAATTCTTAAGAAAATAAGGAAGGAAAAGAATGAAAGGGAGAGATAAGCAAGGTGGTCAAGAACTCCTTTTCCATGGATTAGAGCACAGATACAGCTGGAGGCAGATGCCTGCATGCGCACCTTTGCCAACAGAAGCACAAACATTTTAACCTAAACTATCAAAATTCCAACTGAGAGGATTTATAGGGACCCGGTCAACTCTGCCAGATGACTTAGTGTCCTTCCTGAAACTAGCATCTAGGTAGGATGTGTCCCTGCTTCAGTCTCTGAGGAATGGTGTTCTGTGTTCTTTAGGTTCATTCCCTTAGCTTACACTGAGGAGTTTTAAGGAGCTATCCTAGAGCACATGCTATGATGGGTGCCATCTACTATGCCACTTATCTCAAGAGCCATCACTGCTTCCTCTTGTGTTGCCATCAAGAAGTGTGCACTTCTCTCAAACACTTGGCCTGCCTTTTCCTTCCCATGGAGGACACTGTCACTCCTAGTTCCTTTTCTGCTGTGGGCTTTGGGAATGTCTGAGAAAAGCCTGCTGCTCACCTTTGTGACAATGGAGGAGCCCGTGTCTTCTTTACCTATCTTCCAACTTCAGGCTTCTGTATGGCTCTATATATTTAATAAATATAAAATTTGTGCTATTTTTGACATCTTCTTTCCCAAGTTTATCATTTATCTTTGATTATGACTTAAATGTATTTAGACCTTTCCTGTTTGTTATAAAGTCTCCTGTAAGCCTCATCACATCCACAGTGGGAAAAAAACTACTAAAGATAAACAAATAACTCACCTGTGACTCAATCATTTTCTGCTGCTCTCAGGAAACCTGCTGTTTTTGACTTCTGTCTGTTCTGACTCTGGAGAGAGGCCTCTAGTGAAAGATCTGGAAACCAAGACTATATTCTCATTCTTGAGAATCTCACATGAATTCTCTGCTTATCTCACATGAATAGTTTTGTTTCTGAGAGCAATGGTCTGTGAATGCAACAGAAATGTCATTTTAGATGAGGTCACTGGTCTGGGGACCTAAATCTTAGTTTTCTCTTTCTGGGAACTCAGTCTTGTAAAACCTCGGACTAGATGTTTGGTAGACACAATCAGGGCTGTGGGCTAAGAAATGGGAGGGAGCCTTGGCTTCTGGCATATCTTCTGCACCTGGCCTGCATCTGGGCCACGTCTCTTCCACACTGCAGTAACAACCCCGGTGCCTTCCAGGAAGTGCTAGAATGAAGTTGCTCACCTCCTTGGTCCAAGCAAACACCCCCCACAGGAGCAGCACTATGGAAAACTGCTCTGAAGAGACATGAAGGGATTGTGGAAATGCAATGATGATGACTCACTCCTTCTGCAGCAATGTTTCCTGGGGCAGGAATGACTTCATTAATTTAAGTGAAATTATTTGCCTAGATGTTATAAGGCAAAATGCAACTCTTTTGTAGACAGGCAGAATGGTACTCAGGAAGTGACTACTAGATTAAGATGAGGGGCTAGGGATGTAGCTCAATAGTAGAGTGCTTCCCCACCATACATGAGGCCTGGGTTCAATCCCCATTACTGTAAAACAAACACAAAAAACAACCAATAAAAAAAACAGTTTATAAAAGACCACAAGGTACACATCATATCATTTTAGGCAGAATTACAGGAAAATACAGAACAAGATTTAAAATAAGTACAATAAACTAAACAAACATATCCCACATCCTGATGCACACAAACAGAATTTAAGTTTCTTCACGGCCATGGACCAAGTCACTTATGTTCAACCAGATGTAGAATCAGAACCAAAGACTTCAAGGGCTCAGGGTTATGCAGGAAAATCACTTTCTTCATAAGAGTAAGATTACTCTTACTATTACTAAAGGAAATGTTGAAAAAAACCTTAGCCCATAAATTTTGGGACAAGAGGGATAGAACCCTACCTCACACAACAAAACTGCTCACCAAAACTGTCCAGCACTTGCAGTTAACACCTGCTGTGTACTCGGGTGCTCCAGGCATGATGGTGTCCATCCCCAAAGTTCCTTTGTGGAAGCAGGCCACAGCAAGCCCACACTCAGTCTCCATGGGCAAGAAGCCTAGAGCCTAGCATGGATGACCAAATGTGGTCAAGGAGTCAGAAGGCTCTTTTCCAGAAAACAGGTGAAACTGAGGAAGAAGACATACAGCATGGGCTCTCTGTCCTGTGTCTCAAATAATACCAAAGGCTGCTGAGGAATGTTGTGGGAAGACCATATCAACCAAGGTCCTCATGCAGAGGGCTGAAGTTGGACATGGCCAGGGACAGAACAGACTATGGATTATAACTAGCAAGGCGGAAGTTATAGAAGGCAAGACCCTGAAGCCAGGGGGGTCGCTGAAAACTTTTAAAAAGGAAACACTCAAGTAAAAGTAGTTCCTGACCAACAGTCACAAGCTACAATGAGAGGACAGAATACAAAAAATGAGTATGATTATTTAACAGAAGTTACCTGTGAGAGGCTTGTCTGGGCCCACACATGACCAACACCCATTCGGCCCTGCCTCCAGTCCCACAAACATGGGACCCCCACACATCTCTCCCTTAGTGACCACCTAAGAATCCTCCAGCTCCACATCCCAAGACCTCTGCAGATCACAAAATCCAAAAGGCCCCTCTGTAAACCTCCAGATCACACAACCACTGAACCCCATAAATTCCACTATCACTTGCCCCAGTAACCCCCTCATCCCCACAGAATCTCAATTACCAATTGCACAGCCCCATAGTCTCTTCTCAACAGGCCACCCTTCTAGGGCCTTCAGTGACATGCACTGTAGGTTCCTTAGTGACTCTCAGTGGCCTTATGATAGCTAGCATCTACAATCCTCAACCACTGACCTCAGACTGGCACAGGATTGGCATTGTGTGCCAGGATAACCAGAGAGCATGTGGCTCCCTGCCAATGGCAAACAAGCCAGAAAGCTCCAGCTTCCCTCTCATCAACACTCACAGGCCCAACTTCTCCCCCCTCACCCTTCACTCCATGCTTATCACAGACACGTACAGGCATACTAGTCATTCACCCCAACAGGCCACCCAAATATGAAACCTCATTCATGAGTCACCTGTCATCTCCGGCCTCCTTGGCTCAAGCTCCTCAGCACTCAACTCCAACCCCCTCAAGTAACAATGCCAATCCATGTAGGGCATAAATCAATGGGACCCAGAGTTTCTCCACACCCCCACCAATGATGACATGCTCAGGACTGGAGCTTCAATCCTGACCCTCCAGTGCATGCTCAGAGTACCCACGCCCTCACTTACTTGCCCTGGTGCTGGCCATTCCCTTATTTTTTATTTTTATTTTTTGTGGAACTGGGAATTGAGCCCAGGGGTGCTCCGTCACTGAGCTATATCCCTAGCCTCCTCCTTTCTTTTGCTAAGTTGCTCAGGCTGGCACTGAACTTGTGATCCTCCTGCCTCAGCCTCTCAAGCTGCTGGGATTACAGGAGTGTGCCACCACACCTGACTAGTGTGTCAGTCATTCCTAAGTCATACTGGGCTCTCAATCACTTGGTCCCATGGCAGCCACAGAGTCATCCCTATAGCACTGAGGCCCTAATCATAGGCTTACCCAGCCCTTCAACGACTTGTCCATTTACTGACTAAAACCAAGTCAGTGAAATCCCTGTGAGTCTCAGTAAGTCCCAAAGGACGCCAACCACTCTCTCCTCCAGTTTACTTGCCCTCACAGCTGCCCCAATGTGTTCTCACAGAGCCTCTCATCACTGACATCCCCAGCCTTGCTATCTATCTTTCACTGCTGCTCCAGTCATTGAACCCCAAGGGACACCCAACCCCTTATCCCACAGGGTGCTCCTGCACATTCTCTAATTCATCCCATGTTTGCCCACCATTCACCGGCAGCCTCACAGGCTCTCCTGATGGCCACCCTGCACACAACTGATACTAAGCTGCTCCAACCACTCCAATTACTAGCCCCACTGTTCACTCACAACCCCCACCAAACCAACACTGACTTACATCCACACAGTGCCCCAATTTCTGATGCCTCCATCAAAAAATCCTCAAACACAGCCTAGAGAAGAAACTCAGCCACTCACCTCCCCTAAAACAGCAATCACTAGCAGATAAACAAATCCAGAGTAAGGAGACTTACCTCCCAGGGATTATTATGGGGTAGGAAAAGGGAAATGGGGGACCACAATAGGGAGGATGTGGGGCCCTCGGATCTACACTCATCTTTGCAAGGCAGAAAGCAGTTTCTTTCACAGAAAGGAGTAAAGAAAGTTAGAAAGAATCAGGTGAGGCAAAGTGGGATTAAAGAGTGGGGTGAACAGGATGCAAACCAGAGACTTTCTGCCTGCTGTGAGGAGAGGCTGTACGAGGGCCAAATTTCATGGAACTGGAGGAAAAAACAGTCCATGTTTGCTAACCAGATTTTTTGTCCTGCCTGATCCATGGGGTTCACTAATCACTGCTGAGGCAAAGAATGAAAATGCAGAGGATCCGTGTCTGGCTTATCACAGGCAAACAAGGGCACTCTTGGGACTTACCTAGAACGTGTACAAAAGGAGCTTCTCTGCAGTGAGCCTTTTCCTGGAGATTTCTGAACCTCTGCTGTTTTCCAGGAGCACAGAGCTCAAGTAAAACCCAACGTCTTCACAACCAACAGGACTTCCAGTTAATGAAACACCCAAAACAGATACACCACAAAAGCATCCTTCCCAGCCTGCAAACGAATCACTGGCAACCAGAGTCTTAGTTAACCTACAAAGAAACCCGATAGACACAGTCGCGGGTCTGCGGATGCACTGGGCCCCAGCACAAAGAACTGACGCCCAAGGGCTACCCAAGGAGTCTCCCACAAGTCTTCCGAGGGCCTTGAACACTCAGCCCTCAATCCCAGATTGCCGTTTTACAGACGCGCCCCTGCCCAACCCTCAGGTGTCTACAGGTTAACTATCCACACACGTCTAACAGGCAGGTACGCCAGAGACCGCCCTGGCCCCGCCACGCCCCGGCCCCGCCACGCCCCGGCCCCGCCACGCCCCGGCCCCGCCACGCCCCCGCCACGCCCACGCCCCCGCCACGCCCACGCCCCCGCCACGCCACGCCACGCCACGCCACGCCACGCCACGCCACGCCACG